AATGTGTTTAGCACCTGTGGGCTCAGTTAATGTTGCAGCTAAGATACTCAATCCAAGCTACAAGGTTCATTCATTTAACTTTCTGCGGCCTTGTTCAGAACTCAAGTTTGCCTTTAACAATGTGTTACATGGTTCACCTGCTCACATCAAAATAAAAGTCACTTGTCAGCCACGTGGGGTTATTGCTAGGTAGGCCACACTAACAAAGAGCAAAAAGGTATAACTGAGGGGCACAAAACAAACAGAAAGTAGGGGCTATTTAGGATAGAGACCATCAAGCTTACACAGGGAAATGAAGAAGACTCCAAGAGCCACAGACTTAAGTAATTAAGCTGAATTCCAATTGTATTCCTGAAGTTACCACTATTCCTTTCCTGGAGTCTCTCTCCCTTTAAGGCCAGCTGTAGATTAAGACTATTGTCTCCCTAGGTACCTATTTCCTTCCCAAGCCCACCAGTTAATCTTGAGGCTTTGTGGAAGGTGGAACCACAGTACTTAAGAGTTGGGCTCCCTGAGACTATATAGATTCAAATTCTGGCTCTCCCTTTACCGGCAAGTGACTGTACCTTCCTGAGCCTGAGCTTCCTATACTGCAAAGCAGGAATAATTAGTATCTATCATCACAGAGTTGCTATAAAGATTAAATGAGATATCATACACAAAACATTGTAGTATCTGGTCTATAATTAATGCTCAATAAATGTTAGCTATTTTTACTCACTTTAGGGTAGTGTGGCAGCACTAAAAACAACATACTTAGGAAAGTAAGAAGTCATCAAGGAGAGGCAAAACTTTCGGGGTACTCTATGAATAAATGAGACCACTTCAAGGGACCAATTCTACAAATATTTTGCAGATACACACAAAGAAATATGTTTTAAAAATGCTTACTGCAGTATTTATGTAAGTATTTGTAGCAAGAAACGAAAAATAATCTATCACTATCATATACAAAATCCTAGGTAGTCATTAAAAAGAGTAAAGGAGAATTATATGCACTCGTGGTCAATAATTTCCAAGAAAGATTAAGTGGAAAAAAAAAAGGTGCTGAAAAACATGTATAGCAAGATCCATGTTTTGTAGAGGTGGGGTGCAAGAATGTGCATATGTACATATATGAGTATATATGTATACACACACAGAAAAGATAACCCAATTTTTAAATTTTATTTTTCGTAGACACAGGGTCTCTCTGTATTGCCCAGGCTGGTCTTGAACTCCTGGCCTCCTCAAGTGATCCTCCTGCTCCAGCCTCCTAAAGTGCTGAGATTACACACATGAGCCACTGCACTCAGCCAAGATAATCCAATTTCTAATAATGGTTACCAACAGGGAAAATGGGATTTCCCTTTTTACTCTATATATTCTTGTATAATATATATATTTAACTTTTCATAATAATACACCTATTTGTGTAAGTCAGAAATTTTAAGAAATTTAAGAGTAGAGGACAAATGTTATTTACAAATAAACAGAAGGGAAAAATGAAGGGAATAAAAATGTTCTATAATAAACACATTTCTATTAAAATATAAAATGTTAAAAATGAGAATACATGCAGCTTTATTTGGCTTATAGAAATATGGGTGACTTTCCACTTCCCTCTCTTCCTTCAAAATACTTCCCTCTGCACAGGTTTTACATTTCAAGGGACTGGGGGTAGGAAGGAATCTGATTTCGAGGTAACTTGATAAATTTACTTACATGTAATCTGCCTCGAAGCTCTCGGTCATTTCTCATTTTCACATAAATTCGCTCATCTAGGCTGAGCCTGATAAGATCCAGGGGCTCCTCTACAGTGTTGGTAGTTTGTTGCTGATAAAAGAAACAAGTTTAGTAATGTAGTACTAGAGATAGAGACCTGCTTAAATCACTGTTAAGCTGTGTGACTATGGGCAAGTTATTTAACTTTTCTCTGCTTCAGTCTCCTAAGCTATAAAATGGAGATAACAGTGTCGACCTAATACTGTTGTTGTGAGGCTTAAGTGATATCTATGAGGGCTTAGAACAGTGCCTTTCACATAATATGTGCTACATGAATGTGGGTTAAAATACACATACACAAAAAGGAGTTACACAGCAAAATAATGACTATACTTTGTTCCCTCAAAATCAAACTGCCTGACCCAATTTCAGGGTATAGGCTCTCAGGGACTTTAGCTTTATCTCAAATATTATGTAATCATTGGAAAAACACTCACTTAATGTCTTCCATACACTAGTCAGAATGCTAAGTAGAGGTGTAGGTTTACGGGAAGATGATGAATTTAGCACAGATTTAGTTTAGGCTGCCAACTGGCCAGTAAGATGCATACATTTAGTAGGCAGTATAAAACACTGGTTGAAAGCACTGGCTTACGGCCGGGCGCGGTGGCTCAAGCCTGTAATCCCAGCACTTTGGGAGGCCGAGGCGGGTGGATCACGAGGTCAAGAGATCGAGACCATCCTGGTCAACATGATGAAACCCCGTCTCTACTAAAAACACAAAAAATTAGCTGGGCATGGTGGTGCGTGCTTGTAATCTCAGCTACTCAGGAGGCTGAGGCAGGAGAATTGCCTGAACCCAGGAGGCGGAGGTTGCGGTGAGCCGAGATCGCGCCATTGCACTCCAGCCTGGGTAACAAGAGCGAAACTCCGTCTCAAAAAAAAAAAAAAAAAAAAAAAAAGAAAGCAAGCACTGGCTTAGCTCTGCACAGTGGCACATGCCTGTAGTCCCAGCTGCTCAGAGGCTGAGGTGGGAGGATCTCTTGAGCCTAGGAGGCGGAGGTTGCAGTGAGCCAAGATCGTGTCACTGCACTCCAGCTTTTTCAACAGAGTGAGACTCTGTCTTGAAAAAAAAAAAAGAACTGGTTTTGTAGTCAGGCAGTCTGGGTTCAACTCCTGGCTGTGACCTGACTCTAATGAACTAAGATTAAAAATCATGCCATCTGTAATTCTGATTCTTCATTTGTAATTGAGGAAGCCACAACCTTCCTCTGGGTTCTTGAGAGGATTAAAGTAGTTAATGTATTTACAACAGTGCCAAGTAAACAGAAAATATTAATAAACGGTTCCTGCTGGCTGGGCATGGTGGCTCACGCCTGAATCCCAGCACTGTGGGAGGCTGAGACAGGCGGATCACCTGAGGTCAGGAGTTGAGACCAGCCTGGCCAATATGGCGAAACCCCATCTCTACTAAAAACAGAAAAATTAGCCAGGTATGGTGGCACATGCCTGTAGTCCCAGCTACTCAGTAGGCTGATACAGGAGAATCGCTTGAACTCAGGAGGTGGAAGTTGCAGTGAGGTGAGATGGATCGTGCCACTGCACTCCAGCCTGGGTGACAGAGTGAGATTCTGTCCAAAAAAAAAAAAAAGAAAAGAAATGGTTCCTATTAGTATTATTAAAGAACTGCTGGAAACGTTGGTTTTAGAGGTCAGGGCTAGGATGACTTGGGGTTGGATGGTTGCAGCCATTAAGAGTTAGAAAGACTGTTAAAGGAGAGCTTCTTCATTAAGTACATGAGGCCAGTAGAGGCAGGTGACTGAACGTAACAGGCTCTAAAGCTTCAAAAGGTCAGATGAGAGGAAAAAAAAAAAAATCCTGACTCGACTGATCCCTACTTCCCTAGTCCAACAGGTGTTTGTTAAAGGATCAGATAACCAAATGTTAGATTACAATGATATAGAATTCACAATGCCCACTCTCAAAGAGCTCATTGTAATGTGGAGAGGCATACAAATAAATAAATACTGTAAAAATATGCACATGACAGAGCCCTACTGCTACCTAAGCCTCTGTCTATGATGCCCACTGTAGCTTTAAATATTGCCTTTTCAAAGAGGCCTTATCAAGTAAGTATTTGTTGAGTGTTTCCAGCACTGCTCTAAACCCTAAGGACAGAAGAAAGAACAAAACAAAAAACCTGCTCTGAGGCACTTAAATCCTAGTGGGGAGGGTTATACATTAAACACAGATGCATACATTTAAGAAACAATAATGCGCTATGAAGAAAAATCAAGCAGGGTAAGCAGAGTAAAGCGTGTGCTACTGGCGCAAGGACAAGTCCTCTCTGAGGAGTTGAGATTTCAGTAGAAAGCTTAAGAATTTGTGGCTTGATCTCCAAAGACATCTGACGAAGAGAAAGACCAGGTGAAAAAGCTTCTAGGGCCATCTGTTATTCCGCATACTAGTTCCTTGTTTCCTTCACATCACATCACAGTTCCTATGAGTCTCCTACATATTTATATTTACTTGTATTTGTTCTCCTCACGAATACAGGCTCCAAGTAATGCAAGGGATCACTTATATGTCGATGTCAGTGTCTCTGGCCCTTAGAACAGTGTCTAACCATACAAAGCTGAGGTTCACTGAATCTGCTAAATGAATAAAGGCTGCGCTCAGTAATGCTAAGAACTTCTAACTTTATTATCAGGCTTTCTATTGGAATCCTAACAGCTCCGTGGCAGGCAAGGATAATAATTTACAGATTTTTAAAAATGAACTGAAGAGTGTGATGAATAGTAGTCAGGTGGGCTTCTAATTGGAAAAGATCTCAGGGCCTGCGGCAAAATTCGGAGCTCGCGGCGGTTACGGAAAGGACGGGGCGGATTAGACCATGATGACCTGGAAAGAGGAGACACGACTGGCCAATTTTCAAAAGTTTGGAAAAACCAGCCCTAGTACGCGAAGCTGCTCGGAGCAACCCCCTTAAAGTACGCTCACCTGGTCTACGTCGTCCGCCATGTTTCAAACCCTGCGCCCTTTCCCTCTTCTCGCGATAACACAAGAGCAACGCCGATCTCCGGAAATAGGAGGCTACAATACACCGGAAGTAGAGAGAAACCTGTTTTTCTCCTTCCTGCTTCCCGAGGTTTTTAGTGGCCACGGTTATCTGCGGAGCTTCCTTCGGGGGCGTGACTAGGCCTCCAACTAAGGGGCAGGGCTAGACGCGCCCGCTTGGGGGCGGAGCCCGCGCTCTGGCGCACAGTGGCGAGGTGCGTCACTCGCGAAGTGGATTTTGCTCCAAAGAGCAACATGGCTCGGAAGCGCGCGGCCGGCGGGGGGCCGCGGGGACGCCAACTGCGCAGCCAGAAGTCCAAGGGCAAGAGCAAGGCCCGGCGTGAGGAGGAGGAGGAGGAGGGTGAGAGCGAGGCCCAGCGGGCTTTGCGGGAGACGCCGCGGCAGGACGGAGGAGGCCCGGAGGCTGGGGTGGGAGGCCAGACGTGGAGACAGGATGCGGGTTCCTGCGCGTCTTCCGCGCGGCGGGGACGTGACGGCGGCCGCTGGGGCAGCTTGGCAGGCCGCGGCCGGCCCTCCGTCCTGTCCCTATGCCTTTGTCCTCCGCACGCAGAGCAATTCCCCGGGAGCCTCGCCCGACCCAGGCTCCTGCGTAGCGTCTTTCCGCTCCCGGTTGCCCAGAGGATACAGCGCAGGTGCTCAGGGCTGAAAGTGGAGAAGGCAGTTATTTGGGTCCCAGGAAGACAGACGGACGGACCGGGACGTAGAGTGATACAGTGTGGTGACTCCCGAATGGTCACTTCAGCTGAGTCTCACCCGGAGTTCCACAGTGGGATCCCACCTGACTTCCCCACGTGGATATCGGATAGCCTTCTTAGGTTTGTCACGGGCAAAGCAGAGCTCATGGTTTTCCCCTTTAAATCTATCCTTTCCTCCGTTTTTCCAGTCTCAATACTTGTTACAAAGCAAAGCCCACCTTTTTCTTATATGCAGACGCATCAGTCCATCAGCAAGTCCAGTCAGTTCAGCCTCAGACTGTATCTCAAATTTGTCTACTTCATTTCTGTGGCTATGGCTCCTGTCCAAGCTACCATCACCTGTCAGTTGAGTGACTGCAGTTTCCTCTTTACTGGCCTCTCAGTTCTCCATCCAGCAACCCAACTAATTTTTTTTTTTTTTTTTTTTAAATCATGCCGTGTTCCTACTTTAAACTTTCCTTGGCTTCCCATTGCTCTTAGCTTAAAATCCAATTGGCTTAACCTGGCCTACAAGATGCTACATGTTTTGGCTGTTGCTACCTCTCCTGTTTCTCCTACCACCTGTTTCCTTGCCAGATACCCTCCTTATTGGCCTCCTTTCTCTTCCTCAAATATGCCAAGTTATTTCTTGAGTCTTTTCCTTTGCTGTTCCTTCTGCGTAGAGTGACCCCTCCCCCCAACCATGGCTTTTGTCAGGGCTAATTTCTTATATTTCTTCAAATCTCATGTCAGACGCTCCTTGAGCATCCTAAGGTGGTCCTTCCCAGATACTCTCTATCATAGGACTCCAATTATTGCCGTCCCCGCAGCCTCTTTCACAATCTGTAATGAGCTTAATTTATTTGCCTCCTTGTTACTTGCCTATCTAGTATTTACGCTTCATGAAGGCATGTCTTAGATTTTGCTGTATCCTGTCTTGTCCTTCTTCCACTCCCGTTACAGCATATACAGTCACCCCTTAGTATGCTTGGGAGATTAGTTCTAGGATCCCATAGATACTAAAACCCCTGATGTTCAAGTACCTTATATAAAATGGCCTAGTGTTTGCGTGTAACCTAAGCACGTCCTCCGATATACCTTAAATCATCTCTAGATTACTTATAATACCTAATACAATATAAATGCTATGGAAATCGTTGTCATGCTGTATTTTTTAAATTTGTATTTTTTATTTCCCCCCCCCTGAAATATATTCATCTTTGGTTGGTTGAATCCGTGGATGTGGGGCCCGTGGATTGGTAGGGCTAAGTGCTAAATAAATATTTGTTTTTTAAATTTTTTTTGAGATGGATTCTCACTCTGTCGCTCATGCTGGAGTGCAATGGTGTGACCTCTGCCTCTCAGGTTCAAGTAATTCTCCTGCCTCAGCCTCCTGAGTAGCTGCCACCATGACCAGCTAATTTTTCTATTTTAGCAGAGATGGGGTTTCGCCATGTTGGCCAGTCTGGTCTCGAACTCCTGACCTCAGGTGGTCCATCTGCCTCGGCCTCCCAAAATGCTGGGATTACAGGCATGAGCCACTGTGCCCAACCAATAAGTATTTTAAATAATTGCAGAATGCATGCTGTTGAAGGAATTTTTGGATCTCCTGAAATAACTGGGTAGAAGATTAGACTAGGTAACCAGCAAAGGCTCCTGTAACACTAGATTCTGTGTTTCTATACCAATTATAAGTTCATTGTCCATTGGGAAATAGTCAAATGGTAATAATTCCTAAACTTAGGAGGTGATTTACCTCATATGTAATATTGGTTCCATTTTATTCATTAAAATGACACCTTGAGTACTATGTACATGAATGAGGTGACATGGGAGATAAACATATCTTGGAGGATCATAGAGTAGTGTTGATATGACATTTGCATGTAAAATATTCAAGTCAGGGTGTGCTGAATATTGTGGAAGAAGATACAAGGCTTTGTAGCTTCCAAAGGAATAATCAAGTTTGACTGCAGTGACTAGGGAACGCTCCCTGAAGTTGTTTGATCTGTGATTTTTTTTTTTTTTTTTAATGTGATTTAAGGGATGGTTGCTATTTTAGCAAGGGGTCACAAAAAGGGATTGGTAGTCTAGTCAGAATGTATTTTGGATATGTGGCAATTAAAAATTAAAGGTTTTAATCTGATGGAAATGCTACCTGCATTCTTCCCAGCTAAACACTTCACCTGGGTTCCAGCTCGGTAGACCTTTAATACTTCGTTACATGCACTTGGGTGAATTATTTTGGGTACATATTTTAGCCCTTTTGAACTTCCTCTGTGAAATGTAACAACTGCCTGCAGGGTGGTTGTGAGTTTTCAGTGAGATAGCATATAAAGCCAAGAGCTGTATATGCTATCCCATGTTAGGTAATTAGTTGGGCTAGCTCGTGTCATTCAGCCTAAACAGAAGTAAGGGTGCACCCAAGCTTACTCTACTAGCCAGAGGAGCTAGCAGTCAGTTCCCAAGGCAACTTCTGGGATCTGCAGAGTGACAACCTTTGCTGTGGTTCGGTGGGGAAGCATAGACTTAGCAAGTGTGGTTTGGGCTGCAGGTGATACTAATTTGGTGACTATCAGTATAGTTTCCAACACTAGGTTTTAAAAGCACCCCTGTGCATGCAAATGAAGATGATACTTGGCTTTTTTTGACAAATAGGAAAAAAGAAAACAGGCTTCCACATGATTTCCTTTGTGCTACTAAAGCTCCTCTGGTTTCTTTGCATTTCTTCTGTGTTAATGCCTTCAGTGATAACTATTAATTCCTTTAACAGCTGTTTACTGAGTGCCTACTATTTTCACGCACTGTTCCAGGTACTAGGATAATAGTGAACATAACAGGTGAGTCACCTGCTCTCATGATTATAACCTGTGGGGAGGGGTAGGTAGAGCAGATAATAACAAGTTAAAAAAACCAGGTTCACATGATGACAAGACCTATCACCCTGTGCTAAGGCTGCTGTAATAAAACTTACTTGGGTACAAAGCAGAAAATGCATCTATAGATGGAAAGAAAAACTCTTAAACTCATATGGGGCTGGGAAAGAGGCAGCTAAATGGGAATCAGTGTCAGGGAAGGCCTCTGTAAGGAGGTGGCATTTTGAGGCAGTTACTGAATGTAATTTTGAGTCATTCATAGGAAGTTCTGGGGAAGAGTTCTAGGCAGGGAGGACAGTGTGTTTAGACTCTTAGGAGGGAATGAACTTGGCCAGTTGGCTGGACACAGTGAGTGAGGGGTTGGGTAGGAAAGATGGGCAAGGGCCTGAGCTTGGATACCAAGCTAAGGAGCTGGATTTTTATTCTGAGAGCTACGAGTTGCCGCTGGAAGGTTTACTCAGGTGTTCTTATTAAATCCCAGTAAATGGGCAAGCAGACCACAGTGGTTAATTCCTGCCCTGCTGAGAGAACGCTGAGCTCACGGAGACTGGTGAGGCATATTAGATAACTCAAGATTTTGGAGAGTCCTAGAAAAGAGTCTCTAGATGCTTAGGGACTAAAAAATAGCAAAGAATAGAAAGTCACCCATATTTCTGCCATCCAGAAATAGCCACCATTAAATAATGGTCTGTTTCCTTCTAGTCTGTGTTTTTTACATGGCAGAAAGCATATTGTAAAATCAACTTTGCATGATTAACATGAAATCATACATAGTTTTCCTTTATCTTACAGGATGACTTAATTATATTTTGTTGTGTGGCTCCACCAAAAGTTACTTAACAGTTATGGTTGGACATTGAGATTATTGCTAGATGCTTTTGAATACTATGAACATTGTTTTGATTCAGAGTTTTTTGTTTGCTTTTTCCCCTTCCTTTTTAACTTATCTACCTTTCTCTTCAAACACGGAAATAAAACCTGTGCCTTTTAACCACCCAGAAGAGTTTGATGATGCCTATGAAGTATCCTCCTACCTGCATTTTTTTAGATCACTAGAAATTGAAGTATTTAGCGTCTTTGCCTATTATTAGAGGGCTAAAGACCATTGTTTACGATTCAGAAATCTTGATTTTAGGGGCACCCTCCTCAAACTGTCAAATCTTTTTTTTTTTCTAATTGCATTTTAGGTTTTGGGGTACATGTGAAGAACATGCAAGATTGTTGCATAGGTACACACATGGCAGTGTGGTTTGCTACCTTCCTTCCCCTCACCTGTATCTGTCGTTTCTCCCCATGCTATCTCTTCCCACCTTCCCACCTCCCCGTCCCTCCCCGTCCCTCCCCCATTTCCCCCCAACGGACCCCAGTGTGTAGTGCTCCCCTCCCTGTGTCCATGTGTTCTCATTGTTCAACACCTGCCTATGAGTGAGAACATGCGGTGTTTGATTTTCTGCTCTTGTGTCAGTTTGCTGAGAATGATGGTTTCCAGGTTCATCCATGTCCCTACAAAGGACGCAAACTCATCGTTTTTGACGGCTGCATAATATTCCATGGTGTATATGTACCACATTTTCCCTATCCAGTCTATCATCGATGGGCTTTTGGGTTGGTTCCAGGTCTTTGCCATTTGTAAACAGTGCTGCAATGAACATTCGTGTGCGTGTGTTAGTAGAATGATTTATAATCCTTTGGATATTTACCCAGTAATGGGATTGCTGGGTCAAATGGGATTTCTATTTTTAGGTCATTGAGGAATCGCCATACTGTCTTCCACAATGGTTGAATTAATTTACATTCCCACCAACAGTGTAAAAGTGTTCCTATTTCTCCACATCCTCTCCAGCATCTGTTGTCTCCAGTTTTTTTAATGATCGAAACTGTCAAATCTTAAGCTTTTTGCAGCCTCTGGCCTTGGAATAGGCAGTCTATGCTCAGATTTGAAAAAACTAATTTTGAAATATTTTGTACTTCAAAATTTTTCTTATTTTTTGGTTTCCATTAACATGTTTAAAAATGGGAATGCATAAATTCCTTTTTTATAAAACAAACAATGGAATCATTGATTTATCTAGCATTAAAACAAATGCTCTTATGATATGAAGTTTATTAACATTTAATCATGGTTTCATTTAGATCAGAAGGGAGCCTTTTTTTCCCCTCATGCAAAAGTATATTCTTGCCGAATATAAATACCTGTCCAGAGAGTTAGCAAGACAAACAATGAAAAGACTATTATTAAATAATTTGATATTTTAGGTTAGTACTGCAGTCCCTTTTGGAACTTCAATAAAAGGTATTTTTGGGCCGGGCGCGGTGGCTCAAGCCTGTAATCCCAGCACTTTGGGAGGCCGAGGTGGGTGGATCACGAGGTCAAGAGATCGAGACCATCCTGGTCAACATGGTGAAACCCCGTCTCTACTAAAAATACAAAAAAATCAACTGGGCATGGTGTTGCGTGCCTGTAATCCCAGCTACTCAGGAGGCTGAGGCAGGAGAATTGCCTGAACCCAGGAGGCGGAGGTTGCAGTGAGCCGAGATGGTGCCATTGCACTCCAGCCTGGGTAACAAGAGTGAAACTCTGTCTCAAAAAAAAAAAAAAAAAGGTATTTTTGTTTTATAAAGTTAATTGAAGCAAGAGTCATGCAAAGACGAAAGATTTATTTCAGATTCAAGATAATTTGTATGAGTGTATTTGCAAAATAGAAAACTATCCTTCCCTGCCATATTGCTACATATTAAAACTAATCTATTGATAAACTTGTTATATCAATATAGTTTGTTGTAAACAAACTATACTTTTAGATACTGAATTTGACTAAAACTAGCAACTTAGGCATTTTTTATTTCCTTTTAACAAAAATTTGTTTTAAGAAAATACTTTTGAATTATCGCTGTCTTTTTCCAACTGTAACTTTGCCGAGGTGGTTGGTATACGAGTGCCATTTGGTTTGGATTGGAAAGGTTTCAGAGCAGTATGTTTTGAGCAGTTTGAAGGATGGCAGAGATGTGATTAAAGTAATGGTGTTGTGGTGAAACTCGGACATGTTTATGAACTTAACATTTTGCTTAAGAGAAGTACATTATCCCTAAGACAAATAATTAGTCTTGGCAGATAATAAATAAATAAGGTGCTAATGAATGGATTTTGTATTTTCCTGGCTGGAGGTTAGCTGACATTTCAGATCTGGAAGTTAGGTTTTATTTGAGTCCTATGGTGTTTTCTGTAGTTGTAGGAGAAGTAAAGTGCTAATAAAGGAGCATAGACTACCCGCAGGTGGGAAGAGGCTGAGAGCTAGTTGCTGACCAGACGGGAATGGCGAACAGGTGATGGAGATGGGGTTTGGAAACAGGTCATAGAGCCTTTTCATGCCGCTGCCCATAAACTGCACTGCCTCTACCTTTCCTTCCATCCCTCACTTCTTGTTCTGTTTGATCACCTAGATGCCTTTGAAGATGAGAAACCCCCAAAGAAGAGCCTTCTCTCCAGAGTTTCACAGGGAAAGAGGAAGAGAGGCTGCAGTGATCCTGGGGGTTCAGCAGATGGTCCAGCAAAAAAGAAAGTGGCCAAGGTGACTGTTAAATCTGAAAACCTCAAGATTATAAAGGATGAAGCCCTCAGCGATGGGGATGACGTTAGGTGAGATGCCTACAAAACTTTGTCTTGGGTCCTGATTGTTCCCATCAGAGACTTGTGAATAATGAAAACCTCTATTCTTACTTGTCACTGGGATATATGGAAGATTGGATCTTTAAACTCTTTTAGGTACAACTCAGACCAGTAAGAGCTGGAAACTTTTCAGATAAGAACAGTGACAGCCTGTAGAAGTGATTTATTCATGCTTCCACAGCCAGGCAGTGGCAAAAGCAGGAGAACCCAGGTCTTCCAACTCCTAGTCCAGTGCTCTTTCTACTACACAAAAATATTAGATATATACGAAATATTCACCTGCCATTCCAGCTTTGTCTCATACAACTGTCCTCAAGCATGCTCTTCTCCAGCCCACCTGGGCTTCTCGTCATTCACTGAAAACATTCTCATACTTTCTACACCTGCGTTGTGCTCATGGTATTCCCTCTACTTGGAGTCTTGCTGGCTTCCATCTAGAAGATGCAGATCAGAAACCACCTACTTTAGAGGCTTCGCTGATTCTTCCTTCTTCTGTCCTCTGATTTCCTGTGGCACTTCTGGGGAGTGTAATATATCTGCCAGTTATTGTTACACCACATACCCAGGCTTACTACCCTTTCACCTCTCAGAGGGCTGGAACCATGTGGGTTCAAAAGGCCCTGTAGCATCGATTACAGGGCCTTTTATTTGGCACAAACTGAACAAATATTTTTGCAATGATTGGACATTTATATTAATACATTGTGAACAATGAATATGATCCCAGGGAACACTTGATTATCTGCCTCCTAAGAAAGTTGAGGGGTGGGGAGAAGAATAACAGAGGGGTAGTTGTTCCTTGGCTTCATAAACAAATCCTCACTTACTGTTTAGCCAGCTGTTTACCTATGTTGTTATCTACTTAGTATCGGCTTTTCCAGCAGTCTCTAGTCCTGGCACGGGAGAGTAGTCCAGTAGAAGGGATAGGGGACAGCATGCTGATTTTCCGCATAGTTCATCACTTCTCCTTTTCCCTAGACATTTCTTTTCTTTTTTGAAACAGAGTCTCGCTCTGTCACCCAGGCTGGAGTGTAGTGATGCAGTCTTGGTTAACTACAACCTCTGCCTCTCCCAGGTTCAAGTGATTCTCATGCCTCAGTCTCCTGAGTAGCCGGGACTACAGGCGCCCAACACCATGCCAGCTAATTTTTATATTTTTAGTAGAGATAGAGTTCCACCATATTGGTGTCAAACTGCTGACCTCGGGTGATCTACCCATTTCAGCCTGCCAAAGTGCTGAGATTACAGGCATGAGCCACTGTACTTGGCCTTCCCTAGACTTCTCTGAAGAAAGCCTCTGTGCTTACTGCTTTCCAGTTGCCTCCCCTCACTACTTGGATTCTATCTCTAGAGACGTATACACAGAGATAGGCACAATACTGCCAAGGAAAGCTCCGGGTCTCCGTTTCCCTCTCCCCTGAGTGTTGACTGTGGTCATTTCTGCTATGTTAATTCTAAGGGAAATTTTTGTTACTGTGGTGTTGAGAGAAAGTCGTACCCTAAAAAAGAGTGTATTATTATAGCTCAAGATTGATGATTATTTTATTATGCCAAAATCCTATATGATATTCTCACTTGGTACCAAATGCCAAAGTTTACACAAGTTAATAGTAACTGGATACTCTGGACACATTTTGTATATGAATTTGCAGAAGTATATTACATGTTAGCAAGTACTTAGTCTTGAGCTATTGTTTAGAAGCTACTTATCTATGTTGTTATATACCTAGCTAGCTTGCTCTCTGTGTCTCTTGTTATTTATAACTTACCTATATGTAGTTGCATCCCTGCTATGAACTTCAGTCTCCTTACATTATATTTCTTAAAGATGGAGAAGAAATCTGAGTTGGCTTATAATATAGTTGATAAGTAAATGTAAATTTTATTATCTTTCTAGCCTCCAGCTGCACATGTATCACACAGATATCACAGTTCTGGAACTCATGTTATTATTTTGATGTCTTCTAGCTTTTCCTTGTTATGTCCAGGCATAGCTATGTTTTCTTTCACACAGATCTCTATTGTAGGGTTTTTGACAGCACATCTGGTGTTAATTAGACAGATGATCAGAGCACATCTTGATGAGATTTTGAGACAAAAGTTGTTAGAGAAAGTGCTGCTCAGAGCTTACTAATCATTTAAGTAATTGCAACAGATTCTCAATAAATAGGAGGACTTTTAAAAAATTCCATTTAGCTTGAATGGAACACTAGGGTGTCTGAGCCTTCTTCATCTTCCTTCCTGTGGTCTTTACACAGGGACTTTCCAAGCGACCTCAAAAAGGCACACCATCCGAAGAGAGGGGCTACCCTGAATGAAGACAGCAACGAAGAAGAGGAGGAAAGTGAAGATGACTGGGAAGAGGTGGAAGGTAAAACATCTTCCTTTGTTTTCAGAACTCTTCGGTTCTGGTTTTTTGTTGTTGTTTGTTTGATTCTGGTTGGAGTCAAATCACTAATTGCAATCCTGTTGTCTTTTGAGCAACCTAGACCACAGATAAGGTTGGACTAGGGATGTGATTTGATATATTGAAAAACTCATGACTAAGTTATCAAAGAAGGCTCTTCCTCTGGTGACTGTCAGTGCAGTAGGTATAAATAGAGAGGCAGCACTATTTAAGAAAAGGAGCACAGGCTTTGAAAGTAGTTAGACCTGGATTCAGCACTCAACTTTGCCCCTTAGGTAGCAGTGTGAGTGAGTCATTTAATCCTGAGCAAGTAACTTCACCTCTCTAAACTGAGTTTTCTCATTGGTAACATTCTGTAAACACTGAATGTTGAGTGTGAGCCATTCACAGTATAGTCTATAGGATTATTGTGGGGAAAAGAATGTTTGCGAATGTAATGGGCCTGTCGTATCATACACTCACAGTAAATACCAGCTAATGTTATCACTCCTGATGCCTTCTGTCTGGCCTGTCTTTTCCTCACCTTTTTATCTTGAAATGTTCAAATTTATCAAACAACTGAAAAGTGTAATATAATGTACTCTTCACCTAGGTTCATTAACATTTTGTCACATTGAATGTATGTTTCTCTCTATAAATATTCATTGTGGAACCATTTGAAAATAAGTTGTAGATATCCTGGTATTCCACTGCTGAATACTTGAGCATGCATTTCCTAATAATTAGACATTCTCTTGCATGGCAAAATGACCTCATCACACTTAAGAAAATGAAAAACAAGTCTCCAGTTGTTATAAAAACATTCTTTATAACTGTTTCTTTTGCCATACCAAGATCCAACCAAGCCTTGTATTTGGTGGTTATGTCTCTTTTTCTTTTTTCTTTTTTTTTTTTTTTTGAGACAGAGTTTCGCTCTTGTTACCCAGATTGGAGTGCAATGGCGCAATCTCGGCTCATCGCAGCCTCCGCTTCCTGGGTTCAGGCAATTCTCCTGCCTCAGCCTCTTGAGTAGCTGGGATTATAGGCATGCGCCACCATGCCCAGCTAATTTTTTTTTTTTGTATTTTTAGTAGAGACGGGGTTTCACCATGTTGACCAGGATGGTCTCGATCTCTCGACCTCGTGATCCACCCGCCTCGGCCTCCCAAAGTGCTGGGATTACAGGCTTGAGCCACCGCGCCCGGCCGGTTATGTCTCTTTTGTCTCTTCATGTAGAGCAGTAGCTCCCACCTACCACCTTGTTTTGCTTTTCATAGCACTGCCTTGTTCGAAGGGTCCTAGTCTTTTTGTTTTGTAGACTGTCTCATGTTCTGGTTTTGTCTGATAAACAGTCACACGCCTCATGGTGTTGTTAAAATTGTCTCAATATTCCCTGTATTTCTTGTAAACTAAGTCCAAAGGCATCATTTAGTTTTGATTAAACTTTTTTTTTTGGCAAGACTCCTTTGTAGGTGATGCTTTAAAATTCATGCCACGTTGATTAAGTCACCTCTAATGTCAGGTTGTTCCTTTGCTAGTCATGCTACTTTTAAGCTAGCTGTACTACCGTGTCCTTTCGACATGGCCCCATTAGTCTTTGAGAACATTTTTGTTCAGCTTACATTTTTCTTGGCTGTACATCAGGTGTCCCCAAACTTTTTACACATGGGGCCAGTTCACGGTCCCTCAGACCGTTGAAGGGCCGCCACATACTGTGCTCCTCTCACTGACCACCAATGAAAGAGGTGCCCCTTCCTGAAGTGCGGCGGGGGGCCGGATAAATGGCCTCAGAGGGCTGCATGTGGCCCACGGGCCGTAGTCTGGGGACGTGTGCTCTAGACTAACCAGCTTTTTTTTCCTCCAAGAAGCTGTGGTTTATTTTAATAAGGATTTGTATATAGAGACCAAGATCTGGCATTAGATGTGTTCTTTACCAGTGAGGTGTCATGGCTTCTAGGCCCAGAGCCTCTTTTAAGAAACTTTCACTAATGAAATTTTCAATTAGATCTAGTTCAGCAAGTTCAGTCCTTTTCAGCTACTTTGTATACAAGCAATGTAGGCGGTGAAGAGATGAAAAAGATATACTTCTTGTCACTTGCAATTTTATGATTGAGAATGAAAGATGAACACCTAAGTCATGACACTATGCAAAGCAAATTGTGCTAAGTGTTACTGTAGTAATAACAGAGAAAAACAGATGATTCTCGTTTTTTTTTTAAAAGAGTTTTAAGTGTATACATAACATGCATGAGTGTCAGCTTTTTGATAGAGGGGTCTGTGTCTGATTCAACCCAGTATCTCTGTGCTTTAGGGCCTCACCTAAAGACTGCCTGGGTTGTGTGGGTTAAATGAAACACATGAATATAGAACACTCAGCACAGTGCCTGGCACATGGGAGGACTCAGAACAGGGCATGCCTATGGGGTCTCCGTGGGCTGTCTCTTACATCCATACCTCACTTCCTCTTTCCTAGCAGAACCTTGATTTTCTTCAGTATGGTAGCTATTATTGTTGTTATTACTATTACTGATTTTTTTAAATGCTTGTTCATAGAACTTAGTGAGCCTGTGCTAGGTGATGGGAAAGAAAGCACAGCCTTCTCTCCATCTCTTCTGCCTGTGAAGCCAGTGGAGATAGAGATTGAAACACCAGAGCAGGCGAAGACAAGAGAAAGAAGGTACGCTTAGACCCTTGCTTCTTGGCTCCTGTCACATGTAGCGGGCAACAGCTGCCGCTTAGGAGGACTTTTGAGAAACTTGTAGGGGACCAGGACTGACTGTCAAGGTGGTGGAGAACCTTGGGTCAGGAACCTGATTTACCGTTAGATAATGAGACACCTTCATATCTTGGCTGGGCAGGGGATGAGGAGGGGAAACTCCTTTATGCCAAGGATTGAGCAGGTCATTCATTATATTATCTAATTCTTAGAACAGTGTTATGAATGAGGGGTCAGAGGCTCAGACACATAGAGTAATGTTTCAGGAGTCACTCAGCTGGTAATGAAAGAGCTGAGACCTAATTCTTCTCATTGACTTGGCATTCACACTTTCCCCACCATGCCATGCAGCAGGACTTGAGGCAGTGCCCACCATGGTAGGGAGCTCCTGTCTCTCAGCATCCCGAGTACCTCTGCAGCTTCTAATGGCTTGAGAATATGGAGCACAATGCCTGGTAGTTAATGGGTTAATGAATTCCACTTTGTGATGAGCACATTATGAAGCACAGAAGAGGGAGATAATATAATCATTCAAGAAGTGTCAAGTTGTCTTGAAGATTCATGGGATACAGACTGAAAGAGGTTTTACACTAGAACAGTGTCATGTAAATATGTGTTAATTTAACCTTAATAAAGGTAGTAGTTGCTAAGGAGGGAGTCAGTAGTTGGAAGAGTTGGACAGCCAGAGAATTCTTGAAGAAGTGAGCTTTGAGGCATGTGGGTGAGGTGTGATCTGCTGCTGGTTGAGAGGAGGGTCGTCTGGGTACAGAATGTCCCAGGCTAAGGTTTGTGGGTGACAGGGAGAAGAGCCTGCCGGAAATAGCTGGCTTGCAGATGGACTTGAGTAGCACAGCCTTGTGTCGGGAAACAGGGAGTGATTCACTGTCATCTGAGGAGAAGGAATTGCCTGGGGGAGTGGGGTCTGGTTTCAATTCCCCACTTCATTCCCAGATGTTTCACTATGTGTTGCAGCGAAAAGATAAAAATGGAGTTTGAGACATATCTTCGGAGGGCAATGAAACGTTTCAATAAAGAGGTCCATGAGGACACACATAAGGTAAGGGCAAGGAATGATGGGGAGGGACAGTGTTTCTCATGGGTAGAAAGAACTTGTGTTAACTGAGGCTTTTTATTTCTGGCTTTGCTGCTCTTTCTCGCTTTGCTGTGGCCTTGGCAAGTTTCTTACTCTCTCTGAGCCTTTGTCTCCTCATCTGGGAAGTGGGGGTAGTAACAGTGTCTGCCTTGGAGGGTGGTTGTGTATTATAGATAAGGTAACTTGGGGCACAATGCCTGCATGCAGCAGAGGCTAAATAATGGGTACTTGCCTTCCATCTCTCCTTTCAACCATTTAATATCATTAGTTCTAATCCCAGCTGCAGGCACTGGCTTTTGACTTTAGCTGCTAGTTATTGAACACCTGTACACACCTAGCAAGGTGCTTGGCATGGTGGGGATAGAGACTTGGATAAAGCTTATTTCCTGCAGTTAAGGAGTATGATCTCTAGATGGAACAAGGACTTCCAGACAGAGAAACTCAAGACTGTGCCTGGAACAGTGAGACAGATCAGTATGGCTCTGTGGAGCTAGGGAGGGCTTTATATAGGAGAAAGGATTAGAGCCAAGTCGAGAACAAAAAGTTGAAGACTAACGAAGTTGTGGAGGGACAGCGAGACACCCAGCTTACCTGCATGTGTGGAGTGTGTAGGTGTTGGGGGATTCGATTTCCCTCTGATGCATGGTGGGCTGCCAGAGAGGATTAGTAATGAGATGGGGGCAATGCTTTGTGTGCAGCTGCTGCAGAAATCTAGAGGTACAGGGACGGTAACGAGGTTAGAGAAGGGCTGCCCCCCACCCACCTCAGGCCTGGGGCACAAAACGGGATAGCTGTGTGCCTTTCATCTCTTGGTGGGTGCTGGAAATGAAAGAAAGGGAAGATGACTCCCAGGTTTGAAGCCCAGTGAGGGGAGAGAGGCAGCACTATTGATGAAAATAGGGAGACTGTCACTGGGGGAGGAGGAAGCCAATATTGAAGGGAAAATGATGCAAAGCTGTGTGTGGAAGGAGGGTAAGAGGTCACATAATCATTTCAGTAGGTGGATGAAGCATGGAGTTTGGGATCAGAGGAGGGGCGGAGACGTGGAGCCTGTGACAGAAGGTTGGGCTCAAACACACAGAGAGATGGCAAGAGCAGCCCGGTGAGCCCAGTAAGCAGTATCCTGCTGCCGGCTTCCACAGGCTCCCAGCAGTCTCCCAGCTCTACCCTACTTGCCTTGCCTTCTGATCTTGGTGAGCAAACCCCAGACATGGCAGCATTTCATCCAGAAATCTTTCAGTATGTATCTCTAAAAGACAAGACCTCTTGGAAAACAAAGCAGTTTGTATTTTGAAACATTGAGTTTTCATGATTCCTTTGAAGGAGTGAGTATACGTAGAGAAGAAGAGAGGGTGAAAGGCAGGCTTGGGAAGTGGCCAATACTAGTATTTTCGCTTTCTTATACTTAGAAATGGCAACACATATCTTGCCCACAGGATGTCTTGAATTTGGCAGCAAAAATTCTCCTGGTCTCTGGCCTTCCTTCCATGATGCCCCTTCCTCCTTTCCTCTTCACAGGTTCACCTTCTCTGCTTGCTAGCAAATGGCTTCTATCGAAATAACATCTGCAGCCAGCCAGATCTGCATGCTATTGGCCTCTCCATCGTCCCATCCCGCTTTACCAGAGTGCCGCCTCGAGATGTGGACACCTACTACCTCTCAAACCTGGTGAAGTGGTAAGGCCCTCCGCCTGTCCTGCAGAGCTGGCGAGTGTAGGATTTATGTTTCTCTCAAGAGGCTGGGTTCAGGTCACTTCCACAGACCCGAGGTGGTAACTACGTATCAGGTGGTGGGCACGGCATTGAAGATAGAGAAATGCTAGGCATGATCCTGCCCTGGTAGAGCTCCTAGACTGGTGAGGAGACAAACATATACCAGGTAATTACAGGGTAACATGAGGAGTACCCTGGAAGGAGCGTTCTGTGGACTGCAGGCTCACAGAGCAGTGGCGCTTTTCTCAGCTGCGAGATCTGGGAAGGCTCCCCAAGGAGGTAAAGTCTGAGCTGGGTCTGCAGTGATGATAGGAGTTAGCCAGACAGGCTGGAGAAAGTAGGACAGAGGCAGGTGGGTCTCATGATTCACTCCCTCTTTTGATTTTTTTGGCTGTAAAAGAATGAAATTCCCCTTTGCCCTGACCTCTGACACAAGGAATGCCTGCTTTCTCTCCAGGTTCATTGGAACATTTACAGTTAATGCAGATCTTTCAGCCAGTGAGCAAGATAACCTGCAGGCTACATTGGAAAGGAGATTTGCTATTTACTCTGCTCGAGATGATGAGGAATTGGTCCATGTAAGTGATTCCTCTTGGAGCACTGTTTTTTATCAGTACTGTTAACTAATGATGATGGCAGTCATGTGCCAGATGCCAATTGCAGGTGTGTTACCGACAATACCTTATTCAGTCCTTGTAATGACCTTGATAGCTGCTGAAGCTCAAAATAGCTACGGGATGCCCCTAAGGTCTTCATAGTGAGCCTGAGAATCGAGATTGGGATCAAAGTCTGAGCAGGAGGTTTACATTCTTTCCTTCCTATCACCTAGAGTCCTGGACTACAAAAAAGCCCATAATTTTTGGTCATATGTGCTAGAAATATTTCCATTAATTCCAATCTTCAAAAGTCCCATGAAAATTTTTTTTTCAAATTGGATGCCGAAGTCCTTGAGAATGTGTTTTCGTGCCTTACATTTGGGTGATGACACTGGCAGGCAGCTGTGCAGTGGGGAGGGTTCTGTACGTGAAAAGGAATCATGGTGGCAAAGTGCTCCAGGGATAGGCAGGCTTTATCAAGTGCCTACAGGTATCTGTAGGTAAGGCTCTGTCTGAATAAAACAAAAACAGAGGTGGAAATGTGGTTTTATCCCTAGAAGATCCCTGTTAATCCATACAGTTCTGTCTGGGAGTCCCACATTCTCTTTTGGGAGAAAAAGACCAGATTTTTCATACCTGTAGAGGCCAAATGGTTGACATCATTAGTTCTCTTCTTCCATGTTGGCTTTCAAAAGTGTAAGATATTTGACAAGGCTGATAATTATGTTACAATGTTGCTGCCCAGAGAAAATAATTAATTTTTTTTTTTTTAATCAGTCTCTCTCTGCCACCTAGCCTGGAATTTAGTGGTGCAACCTCTGCTTGCTGCAACCTCTGCATCCTGGGTTCAAGTGATTCTTCTGCCTCCACCTCCCAAGTAGCTGGGATTACAGGCGTGCCCCACCACGCCCGGCTGATTTTTGTATTTTTAGTAGAGATGGGGTTTCACCCTGTTGGCCAGACTAGCAACTCATTAATTTTTTTTTTTTTTTTTTTTTTTTGAGATGGAGTTTCGCTCTTGTTACCCAGGCTGGAGTATAATGGCACGATCTCGGCTCACTGCAACCTCCGCCTCCTGGGTTCAGGCAATTCTCATGCCTCAGCCTCCTGAGTAGCTGGGATTACAGGCACGTGCCACCATACCCAGCTAATCTTTTGTATTTTTTTAGTAGAGACGGGGTTTCACCATGTTGACCAGGATGGTCTCGATCTCTCGACCTCGTGATCCACCCGCCTCGGCCTCCCAAAGTGCTGGGATTACAGGCTTGAGCCACCGTGCCCGGCTAATATTTTAGTATTGTCCTCCCAGACTTTGTTCCTGTGTATTTGTGTACATATGTATTTATTTTGTTTTTTTAAGCAAAATGGGGTAATACAACTTAAGAGGTGGTAAAATTCAGTGACCAGATAGTACATTTACAGTGTTGTGCAGTTACCACCTCTATTTTCAAAACATTTTTGTCACTCCCAAGAGAAACACTATATGTATCCATTAATCACCCCCCTGATAATTCCCATCCCTGCTCATGGCAATCACCAATCTGCCTTGTGTGTCTGTGCATTTACCTATTAAGGATATTTAGTATAAAAGAAATCATACACTGTGTGGCCTTTTCTGTCTTTTGCTTAGCGTAATGTTTTCAAAATTCATCTGCATTTTAGCCATGTATCAGTATTTCATTATTTATGGCTGAATAATATTCCATTACATGTATATAGATTTTCTCTATGCATTTATCCATTGGTGGACATTAGTTAGTTTCCACCTTGTGGCTGTTGTTAAGAGTGTTGTTAATATATGTATATATATATTTATTTACGTACCCTGTTTTCAGTTCTTTTGGGTATATACCTAGGATTGAAATTGTTAGGTCATGTAATATATTGTATGTTTAACTTTTTAAGGAACCACCAAACTCTTTTCTACAGTGTAGGGTCAAGCCCTACAGGGTTGTGGGGTATCCCCTATTGCTGTGCTGAGGTGCAGGATCTGAGAAATAGTGAGAAAAGACACAGAAGTACTGAAAAAGACAGCTGGGCTCGGGGTGCCACGCCACTTAAAAGCAAAGACAGGCGAGGCCCCGAACATCCAGGAGCATCTGTATTTATTGGGTATAAGTTAGGGGGCAATGTAGTGAGTGAGGTCATCTTAAGAACAGTGATAGGGCCAAGACAATCATGTGTGCAATAAGCAAAGGGTCTACCCCCGTTAGGTCACCAAGGCAAGGACATGGGCCATGTGCAGCAAGGGGTCCATGACCATTATGTTACTGAGGCAAGGAGGTGGGCTGTGCACAGTGAAGAGGTTGCAGTGTGCAACATTTCTTATCTAGGGGCAGGCAACTTCTAAGAATTTCTGTACGAGGATGCTTTGAGTCAGTACAGCAGCGACAGAGCTGACGAGATTTACCACCACCTGCTGGCAGTTTCCAGTGATTTCTATAGGAGGATGCTTTGAGTCAGCACAGTAGCTAGAGATTTGACAGGTTATACAGCCACCAAGGTGCGATTATACCCGAGGGGTTTTAAGCTTGCGGTCTTGCCCACCTGAGGCCAGCTTTCCACAAGAACTAGATGCAAGATACTGTACCTCCTTTTCTGGAGGAGTGACTCTTGCTCCAAGCCTGCCATACAGTGAGTATCTTTATGATACTGAACATTGCCGCCTGGAACTCAAATTCTTGTCCTTGTATAGCTGTTTTTCCCTTAAATCATGATCTGCACTGAGTCTGCTCTAGACATTTCTTCAACTATAAGCAAGATAAGATTTTATATTTATATAGCTGCTTATTCCTTAATTCATGCTCTGTACCATGTCTGCTCTAGGCATTCCTCTGACTATGAACTAAGATAAAATTATATATATGTGTGTGGAAATAACTGAGTAGTAAAGTATTCTTCAGGCACTAATTATTCTGACTATAAACCAATACATGTTTTTATATAAAGGATTATATAAAGGAAATAACTGAGTAGTAGTAACACTATAAACTAAGATATTCTTCAGGCACTAATTGTGCTGGGGATCTGCCTAGCTCTCCTTCCTCGGTGCCCAGATTGGGGGTAACCCACATACAGTTACTCTACCATTTTACATTCCCACCAACAATGAACAAGGATTCCAAATCTTTGCCAACACTTGATTAATTTCTGGTGTTTTGTTATAGTCATGCTGTTTTGATTTCTATAGCTTTGTAGTAAGTTTTGAAATCGGGAAGCCTCAGTGTAACTTTGTTGATTTACAGTATGCTTGGCTATCTAGGGCCTCTTGGAATTCCATATGAATTTCATGATCTGTTTTTCCATTTCTGTGAAAAAAGTGTTGGAATTTTGATTGGACTGCCCTGAATCTGCAGATTAATTTGGGTAGCATTGCCATCTGGATATTATTAGCTCATCCAGTCCATAAGCATGGATGCCTCTCCTTTTATTTTTGTCTTTAATTTCTTTCAGGTATATTTTGTAGTTTTCAGTGTACACATCTTTCACATTGGTTAAATTTTTTCCTAGGTACTTTATTTTTCTTGATGTTAGTGGAAATAGCATTGTGTTCTGAATTTCTCTTTTAGATTGTTCATTGCAAATGTGTAGAAACATAACTGATTTTTTTGTGTTGATCTTCTACCCTGTAGCTTTGCTGAATTCATTTATTAGCTCTGTGAGCTTTCTTGTGCATTCTCTGAATTTTTCTGTGTATACGATGATGCCATCTCTGAGTAGATCATTTTACTTCTTCCTGTTCAGTTTGCATGCCTCTTGTGTCTTTTCTTGCCTAATTGCTCTGGCTAGGACTTCAAGTACAATGCTGAGTAATGGTGGTGATAGCAGGCATCCTTGTTTTGTTCCTGATGATTAGTGAGGAAAGTTTTTAATCTTTCACCATTAAGTATCACACTACCTCTGGGTTTTCATAAATGCTCTTCATCATGTTGACTCAGTTCCCTTCTATTCCTAGTGTTCTGAATGTATTTTTTATCATGAAAGCCTGTTGGATTGTCTCAGATGGGTTTTTCTGTGTCAGTTGAAATGATCTTCTGGATTTTCTTTCCTTCATTCTATTAAAGTTTATTTAATTGATTGCTTTTCTTATGTTGAACCACCCTTGCATTCCTAGGATAAGTCCCACTTGGTCAATGTTGTATAACCCTTTTAATATGTTGTTCAATTTGTTGTTAGTATTTTATTGAGGATTTTTGCATCTATACTCATAAATTGGTTTATTTTCTTGTGATATCTTTATCTGGCCTTGGTGTCAGGGTAATGCTTGCCTCATAGAACGAGTGAAAAAATGTTTCCTATTCTAATGTTTGGAAGAGTTTGAGAAAGATTGGGGTAAATTCCCTTTGAACTGTTTGCTAGAATTTACCAGTGAGGTCATCTGGTCCTAGACATTTCTTTGTTGGGAGGTTTTGATTTCTGAATCCATCTATTGTTACAGATCTGTTCCGATTTTCCATTTCTTCTTTAGTCAGGTTTGGTCATGTGTGTCTTTCCGGAGTTTTGTCCATTTTCTCTATATTATCTAACTAGTAGGGATCATACAATTCTGTAACCTGATTTTTTTCCTCATTAATGTACATTCATTGATGTCTTGTTCAAGGTGGTGACTGTGTGTGCTTGGGTAGCACTAGACTATTCCCAGAGTTGTCTTCCCTATGTTGTCTTATCCTCTTTAGAATCCTGTGAGGAAGGTGAGGCAGGGATTATTCTAGATGCAGGAATCCAGGTTTAGGGAAGTGACTCAGCTAGTGGTAAACACTTAGTTATACAGACTTCTGGACCTGTGCTTCTGTGCCATCCTGTACAATAAGAACCTGAGAAATGAATACCGGTACAATGCTGTCAGCTAAACTACAGACATTATTTGGATTTTCCAAGTTTCCCCACTGTTACCCTTTCTCTATTCCGTGATACTAGCTAGTTTGCATTTAGTCATCATGTCTCTTTAGTCTCCTCCAGTGGGTGAAAGTGTTTTGGTCATTCCCTGTCTTTCATGACCTTGACACTTTGGAAATTTCTAGCTGCAGAAGAAACAGGGCAAAAGTGAGTGGGTGTGGTGGCTCATGCCTGTAACCCAGCACTTTGGGAGGCTGAGGCGGGTGGATCATGAGGTCATGAGCTCTGGCCAACATGGTGAAACCCCGTCTCTACTAAAGTTACAAAAAATTAGCTGGGTGTGGTGGCGTGTGCCTGTAGTCCCAACTACTTAGGAGGCTGAGGCAGGAGAATTGCTTGGACCCGGGAGGCTGAGGTTGCAATGACCCGAGATCACGCCATTGCACTCCAGCCTGGGTGACAGGGCAAGACTCCGTTTCAAACAAACAAAAGAAAGAAAAGAAACAAGACAAAAGCAATCATTTATCTCACCTTAACATGGCTCCGCATGCCTGACTTTCTCCCGAGGCTGTGACAGTAATTGAAGAGAGACGCTGGGACCTGGAGACCCGTGTGGGAAGGCCTCGCCCGAGTACATTATCACTGTTGCTGTTGGAGGTCAAGTCCCCCGAGGGGCTCCCAGACTTTCAGGTTAACAGTGTTCAGAGCTGCAGCCTCAGTTAAAAATTCAATTTGGGGAAAAATGGAAAACAGGGAACAGACTTAGGTGATCTGGTGATAGTGATATTTTCTACGTTTTCTTCCCAAAGTGGTATTGAGTTTTATTATTTTAGTCACAAACACAACACATATCGTTACAGAACTATCAGAAGATGGGTAAGCAGAGAAAAAAATCCTGTTAACAGCCATAACCCAGTATATGGATCCTTTTTCAAATATATGTGTATGTCTAAATTTCTACTTACCTATTTTTTGTTATAAAAATGTAATAACATCATACTTTTTAAAGGAAAACTTCTATTTTCCTTTAATATATGATGGTCATATTCCTGTTCTTCTATGAAGATAGACCTGTGGGTCATCGTTAACCGTGTTGGGAGTTTCTGTCATCTACTGTTAGACAGCCTGGCTGTTTCCAGCTTTTCCCTGTCTTGAATAAGCACCATAACAAACAACATTGAACTCATTACATCTTCAATTACTTTCTCAGGATAATTATGTTCTTCCTTTTCATCATAGATATTCTTACTGATTCTCCGGGCTCTGCAGCTCCTGACCCGGCTGGTATTGTCTCTACAGCCAATTCCTCTGAAGTCAGCAGCAGCAAAGGTGAGGTGCTCAGGGCTACTAGAGAAGACAGGCAGTTGACAGGAGAAATTGTCACACTTAAAAAAATTGATCATGCCGGGCGCGGTGGCTCAAGCCTGTAATCCCAGCACTTTGGGAGGCCGAGGCAGGTGGATCACGAGGTCGAGAGATCGAGACCATCCTGGTCAACATGGTGAAACCCCGTCTCTACTAAAAATACAAAAAATTAGCTGGGCATGGTGGCGCGTGCCTGTAATCCCAGCTACTCAGGAGGCTGAGGCAGGAGAATTGCCTGAACCCAGGAGGCGGAGGTTGTGGTGAGCCGAGATCGCGCCATTGCACTCCAGCCTGGGTAACAAGAGCGAAACTCCGTCTCAAAAAAAAAAAAAAAAAAAAAAAAAAAAAAAAAAATTGATCATTAAGGCCGGGCGTGGTGGCTCAAGCCTGTAATCCCAGCACTTTGGGAGGCCGAGGCGGGTGGATCACGAGGTCAAGAGATCGAGACCATCCTGGTCAACATGGTGAAACCCCGTCTCTACTAAAAATACAAAAAAAAAATCAGCTGAGCCGGGCACGGTGGCTCTAGCCTGTAATCCCAGCACTTTGGGAGGCCGAGGTGGGTGGATCACGAGGTTGAGAGATCGAGACCATCCTGGTCAACGTGGTGAAACCCCGTCTCTACTAAAAATACAAAAAATTAGCTGGGCATGGTGGCGCGTGCCTGTAATCCCAGCTACTCAGGAGGCTGAGGCAGGAGAATTGCCTGAACCCAGGAGGCGGAGGTTGCGGTGAGCCGAGATCGCGCCATTGCACTCCAGCCTGGGTAACAAGAGCGAAACTCCGTCTCAAAAAAAAAAAAAAAAAATCAGCTGGGCGTGGTGGCGCATGCCTGTAATCCCAGCTACTCAGGAGGCTGAGGCAGGAGAATTGCCTGAACCCAGGAGGCGGAGGTTGCAGTGAGCTGAGATCGTGCCATTGCACTCCAGCCTGGGTAACAAGAGCGGAACTCCGTCTCAAAAAAAATAATAAAAAAATAAATTGATCATTATTCTATGTTAAAGAGCTGATATTCATGGAGTGTGCATTCTTTTGAACTTTGCACATATACCCACATGAGTGGGTATCTGGTAACCTGAGCTTCATAGCTTCATGTGTGCCGAGTGGCCTGTGAGAGGTCTCGGCCCACTGCTGCTTTTGTGTCTTTTCTGTAAATTGGGTGGAATGGCGCCTGTCCTCACTCACATTGTGGAGTGCTGATAAGTGAAGCACTGTGAATTTTGAGGTATTCTGGGTTAGCTTTGAGAAGCTAAATGCTTTACTCGTTGGGATATTGGCATTGTCTGAAGCCTGATGGTCTAGAAGCTGATTTTCATAACATCTGTATTCTTAAAACTACAGTTATATTAAGTCCGTAAGTATTTGTTTGCAAAATGCATATGTGCAAGGTGGGTAGTAATAGTACTGGGGAAGCTGAAACTCGGAGGTTAAGTAATTTACCTAATTTATATAACCAGCAAGAGCTAGAACTACAGTTCAAACTCAGGTTTGGCAGTTTCCAAATCCGTGTTCTTTTCTCTTTACAGTTAGGGTGAAAAGAATTAAACTGTGCCCTTATCTAAGATGCTACAGATTTTAGCTCATATATGCATACAACCCTGAAGGATAGCCAGTTGATCACTGTCTGAGCTGGCAACATCTTGATGTATTGGTTCTCTAGCTAGCAACTTAACCCTATTAGTGTATATGATTTCTTTTGTATCATTAGAAAAGAGAGAGAGAAAAAAAGCAAAATTTCTTACTTTCTTTAAGGGAAAGAAACCTTCCAAGAAGAGATTGACTGCGGATCCTGAAGGCTCTTCGGAATCTTCCAGCCAAGTTCTAGAGAACCACACCAAACCAAAGACCAGCAAAGGAACCAAACAAGAGGAAACCTTTGCTAAGGGCACCTGCAAGCCAAGTGCCAAAGGGAAGAACAAGGCAGACAGAAAGAAACGGAGCAAGCTCTCCTCCAGCGAGGAAGATGAGGGCCTGGGAGACAAGCAGGAGGAAGCAACCCAGCGACGTCTGCATGGCCGGGAGCGGCGGGTGGCCTCTAGGGTGTCTTATAAAGAGGAGAGTGGGAGTGATGAGGCTGGCAGTGGCTCTGATTTTGAGCTCTCCAATGGAGAAGCCTCTGATCCCTCTAATGAGGATTCTGAGCCTTGTCCTCCAAAGCAGAGGAAGGTCCCCGCTCCTCAGGGGACAAAGGCTGGGTCCAAGAGTGTCTCCAAGACCCAACGTGGGAGCCATCATAAGGACCTAAGCTTGCCAGTGGCGTCCTCAGGTTCTTCAAATAGTAAAAGAGGCAAAATGTCTAGCGATGGTGAGAAGGCAGAAAAAAGGAGCCCACCTGGTGTAGACCAGTGGCTAGAGGTGTTCTGTGAACAGGAGGAAAAGTGGATATGTGTGGACTGTGTGCACGGTGTGGTGGGCCAGCCTCTGACCTGTTACAGGTATGCCACCAAGCCCATGACCTATGTGGTGGGCATTGACAGTGATGGCTGGGTTCGAGATGTCACACAGAGGTACGACCCAGCCTGGATGACAGTGACCCGCAAGTGCCGGGTTGATGCTGAGTGGTGGGCTGAGACCTTGAGACCATACCAGAGCCCGTTTTTGGACAGGGAGAAGAAAGAAGACATGGAGGTAAGGTCTTGGCTGATAGGGACCCCAAGACCAAGTCAGGTTATTGAAATTATTTCCGTTTTTGAGCACCTTATATATGCCCTGAACTATGTTGAGTATTTTTAGTGTGTTGTGTCATTTAATTGTCACAGCGCTATACAGCTGGAGAAGTTGCCTTGATTTTAATGTAAAAGGTTATGGAGTTGAAAGATGAACTGCCCTGGTGTTTGTGCCCAGGTCTGTGTGGCTTTGGAGCCTGTATACTTTTAGTTGTTGCCCAGGTATACATTTGGAGCTTTAAAATAATTTATGCAAGCAATATAACTCGGACTGAGTGAAAGAAGGAATAATGCGTGGATATATTCTCTCCTCCTTCCCCATCATGCATGCATATAGAGATGCATGTGCAAACATCCCTTATATGTAGAACCCTGGGAAAGAGGGATCTTAGGGTGAGACAGTATCTTCAGTCTGTTGAGAAGGCAGACTGGGAGGCAAAGACTTCTAGAACATAACACAGCTATGTCACTCGGTCTTAGAACCAGCACTGACACCAGGAAGAGGGCCTGAGCTGCCTGTCTGTACAGTTATGATGGTATTGGTTGTAGCTTGCCTTCTATACAGGAGCATGCCCAGATTTGTCGCAGGGTTATTTCCAGTCACTCAGGATAGGTAAAGTGCAGATGTATTCACCATTTCCTATAGGAGTGCAATGCATCCCATATTGAGAGTTTGCTCCAGGAGCGTTCCATTTTACTTAGTAATGAGGGGTTAAGTGGGAATTATGCAGATGGTGTTGCAGCTAACCTACCTAAAGCTCAATGGAAACCGAATGTGCAGCATCCTTTCCTACTCTCAGCAACTCCACATTGCCAGTCCTTACGAGTCGGTTGGGGTTTTTGAAGAGATGCCAAGGGCAAACCTAAGAGGGCCTGGTGAACAGGGTGACTTACAGCAGTGGAACTGCCTACTGAGAAATCAGCAGTCTTAGAGTAGGGCAGAGAGAACACTGTCAGAGTGGACCAAGAGAAAAGTTGCAGGGTGAGAACCACTCCTCTCAATTTCCTGTGAGAGCAGGCAGGTAAGCTTGCGCTCTGGAAGAGGATTATCACTTTGAGAGAAGACCTTCTTACTGAAGAGCACTGTGTTTTTCTTCCTTGCAGACCTTTAACAGAGCAGGCACTGATCTGCTAGGGCTGGGTAAGGCATCTAAGCATTCAAATAGGTTAGACAACTTTTTCAAGTTGCCACAAGCCACAGATTTATTTAATTCTTGTATAGCTTTTGATCTATAACCAACTTAATGGCTAGAGCTATAGATGCGATGTTACAGAATCATTAGTGTTCATGAAATCTCGGCTCTACCGTTTGTTGTCCGAACAAGTTAGTCTAAGGATCATCTCCCTCAAACTTCATTTCCTCTTCTAAATGACATGCTCAATATTGTCTGTCTGGCCTTTGCAGTTTCAGGCAAAACACATGGACCAGCCTTTGCCCACTGCCATTGGCTTATATAAGAACCACCCGCTGTATGCCCTGAAACGGCATCTCCTGAAATATGAGGCCATCTATCCTGAGACAGCTGCCATCCTTGGGTATTGTCGTGGAGAAGCAGTCTACTCAAGGTGCGTGAGGCAGCCTGTGTGGCCTCGGGCTTCCTGATGGTGTGGGATTAGCAGCCTTCTTCCTGGGCAAGGCTGCTCATGGGATCTCATGTGACTGGACAGTTTTCAGGATGAGCCAGTGTGTGTGTGCTGTGTGTGTGTGAACAGTAGGAGAGATGAAAATTTGAAAATTAAAACAGGGATTAAAAGAATGGCAGGGGAAAAACAGAAGGGAAAGAAAATACAAGGTAGGAAAAACAAAATTTAAAATAGGGCAATAAAAAACACACCCCACAAATAAAAGTCAAAAGCATGCAAAAGGAAGAAATAAAGGATTTGATTATGAAAGTTAAAAGTGAGTGGATTTTTCGTGGGTACAGAGCCCTGTTTGGGATGAAAAAGTTCTGGAAATGGATGGTGATAATGGTGGGACAACGTTGTAAATGGACCTAATGCCACTGAACTGCACACTTAAAAATGGTTAAAATGGTGTATTTTATGTACTGTATTTTATACCACAGTAAAAAGAAATAGCTTAAAAAAAAAGTGGAATAAGTAAAAAATGAATAAAAATATATATAATTAAAACTGAAAAATGTTAATACAATTTTGAGGTAAGAAAAAATAGAAACAGGAATTTTGAGAAATAGGAATAAAAAGCAAATAAAAGAAATTATTTTAAAAGACATGGGATGTGCAAGACCAAGAAATAGGAGATGTTCTTAATAAATGAGAAAACAGGAAGGTACAGAAAAGAAAGAGAAAAAGGAAACATAGGGAAACCCACATGAGAGTGGGTGATTTGAGTCCTCCCTCTGGGAATGACTTCCTGTTTGTCAGCTCCCCATGGGAGGCATACCCTCTGTTCAGGGCTCTGCCCTATCTTGGAGCTTTCTGTTTGATGTCAAGGGGCATGATGCCCTTGGGACAGGGTTTTACTGTTGTGGGTTGTTAACACCCAGCAGTCAAAGGCAACAGGAGACCTGGGCTACCCTGATACAGGCTTCCTCTTGTGGGTATGTATGGTAGTTGGGAGAAAGAAAGCCTGTTGGGAAGAGCATGCTGGTGCCTTCCAGAGGCACCATGTCAGTGATAGAAGGAAGCATTAGAGGTGCATGTTTATTGATTTATTTTTTATCATGGTAAAATATATATAACATAAAATTTACCATCTTAACCATTTTTTTGAAGTTGTCATAATATTTCATACCATTTTTTAAGAGTATACCCTATAGCATTAAGCACATTCACACTGTCATCCAACCATTACCACCATCCATCTCCAGATTTCTTTTTCTCTTCCCAAACCGAAACTCCATCCCCATCAAAAACTCCCCTTCTCCCTTCCCCAGTCCTGCACCTGCCATTCTCCTGTCTGTCTCTGAGTGTGCCTACTATAGGGACCCATGTAGGTGGAATCGTGGTATTTATAGTCATATTGTGACTGGCTTATTTCACTTAGCATAATGTCCTCAGGGTTCATCCATATTGTATGTAACATGGGTCAAAATTTCCTTCCTTTTAGGCTAATATTCCACTGTGTGGGCGTACCATATTTTGCTTATGCCTTCATCTATCGATGGGCACTTGGCTTATCTCCACCTTTTGGCTATTGTGAATTGTGCTGCTGTGAACATGGGTGTGCAGATAACTCTTCAAGATTCTTTTAATTTTTTTTTTTTTTTTTTTTTTTTTTTTTTTGCATATACCCAGTAGAATTTCTAGGCCAGATGGTAATTCCCATAATTTTTTTTAGGAACCATCTTACCATTTCCACAGCAGCTACACCATTTTACATTTTCACCAACAGTCCACAAGATCTCCACTTTCCCCACATCCTCACTGACACTTGTTACTTTCTGTGTTTTGGTAATAGCCATTGTAACGGGTATGAAGTGGTTAGAAGTTCATATTTATGCTGAGAGGACTATGTCCATTTCTCTGCTGTTTTCCTTAGGAAGATGTTCAGATACTGCCTACCTGTCAACCCCTAAGACACCTTTTCTACCCGCTCCTGTCTGAAGACCGAGACCATGACATAATCACTCCTCTGGGCAAAGATGTCCCCTCCCCAGTGGGAGCAAGAGTGGAGCTTTCGCACTCTGGCAGGTTGATGCTGCTGGCAGGAGTGCTGACACTCAGGAAACATCTGGTCCTCCTAGCAACTGTGTGCAGTAGAAAAGACAAGAGTTTATTGTCCCTAGTTGATAGGTGAGGACACAGATGCTCCTTGACTTAGGATGAGGTTGGAGCCCCATAAACCCGTCGGAAGCTAAAATATCCTAAGTTGAGAATGCATTTAATATACCTAACCTGCCGAACCTAATTGGACCTGCTGTAGGTGGAATCATATGGTATTTGTGGTCGTTTTGTGACTGGCTTATTTCACTTAGCATAAAGTCCTCAAGGTTCACTCATATATGAAGCATGAGTCATAGCTTAGCTGAGCCTCCCTTAAACTTGCTGAGAACTCGTTAGCCTACAGTTGGGCACAATCGTCTAACACAAAGCCTATAATGAAGTCTTCAATATCTCATGTAACTTATTGAATACTGTACTGAAAATGAAAGAGAAAATGGTTGTATGGGTACTTGAAGTACAGTTTGTCCCGAGTGCATATTGCTTTTGCATCATCATAAAGTTGAAAAATTTTGAATCAAATCATTGGTGTTGGGGACCATCTATACTGAAACTCAGGAAGGTAAAGTGACTTGCCCACATTTCCCAGCCAGGAAGTGGCACAGGCAAGATTCAACCTCCATCCATTGTGTTGTGCTGAAATTCAGCCTCAGGCTGCCCTATTGGTAAGGGCCTGAACCTGCACTAGGAAGAAATGGGGTGCCCTTGCTCATTGGAGCTGCTCTTTCTGGTCAGAGTGAAGGGGTGCAAACTAACGAGATGGGTGTGCCTTATTACAGGTGGCTTGGCAAGGGAAAGGTTGAGCCTCATTGGAAGGTAGACTTGCATGGCTTTGGTGCGCTCTTAGCTCTGGAGGAAAAGTGAAGCCTGAGGATCTTTGCCCACCAGGAATCATTTGACTGTTCCATGTGCGTGTTTCTCGATTGTGTGATAGCTTAGTAGCTTATTATAGTTGGTTTCTACAGAGCCTTCCTTTGGGTTCACTACCCCCTCCTCTAGACACTTCCCTCCCCTGCATGGTGTCAACAGCGGAGTAAATGTAACTGCCCAGCACACAGCAGTCTTTACCCTATCCTGATAGGCTGCAGAGGGAGCTCTCACCAGGCTCTGGACAGCAGAGGAGAGGAAAACCTACGAAGGGGAGGTGTGGTGGAGGCAAGGCACGAAGGCTGCAGAGTAACTCCATGCAGATTAGAATTTGTAAGTGGACACATTCCCCAAAAGACAGGCAGTCCACATTCAAGGCTGTTTGCCTAGCACAGCTCCTCTGGGTCCCCTAGGAGCCTGGCTTGCTCCAGGGTGGCAGAGCCTGAGGAGGGAGCCTGCAAGGCCGTGCTCTCCACTGTCCTGCATTCCCGCGGTGGGGCTATGGACTGAGTTTGCCTTTGTCTTTCCGTGTTGGTTCTGTAGGGATTGTGTGCACACTCTACACTCCAGGGACACGTGGCTGAAGAAAGCAAGAGTGGTGAGGCTTGGAGAAGTGCCCTACAAGGTAACTGGAGCTGGGGGTCCCTGCGGAGAATGGGGATGCAGGACTGTAGCTGAGTGGGAGATCCGGGGTCAGAGAAATGGTGATGAGGACCTGCCCAGGATCTGGATCAGAAATGTCTCACTTTGCCGGCTTGAGCGGGAATTAAGGAGACAAGCGTTTAAATTGTCTTATTAATTAATAAGTCATTTGTAAGAAATGGACCTGCCAAAACACAAAAGAAATCTAGGCCAAAAAGTAGGCCTCAGACTCCTATTGTGAGTTCAAAGGCTCTACAGGTTGGAACTGAGTTACTGGGTGGTTCTGGGAGGTCAGAGCCCTGCTTTATAGCAGCATGTTCTCCAGTTAAATTGCTTTTCTGTTTTTCAGTTCACCAAGCATTTTGCATGTGTGTGATCTCTGTTGCCTCTCAAAAGCCATAGGAATTGGCATTATGATGCCCATTTTACAGATGAGAAATGGGCATCTGGAGCTCAGGACAAGTGACTTGGACCAAGTCCACACAGTAAAATAGCAGAGCCCAGTTGAGAATCCCAGGCCCTGCCTTAAAGCCAGTGCCTCTTTCACACTGTGCTGTGGCACTATTAGGTCAGTTATCAAGGTCCTACAGAGACTATTCACAGGACACACACACAGCTCAGTATGACCAGCAGAGTACAGTGGCTGATCGCAGAGACCATTTATTTCTCATCAGATCCCAGGAATCCTTGGGGGTTGCAAGACTCTGGATGGGGAGTGGAGGGGCCCCTGCTTAGTGGGAAGGGCCGCAGTTGGCTGGTTGCAGTCACTGCCAGCAGTAGGCTGGAGTGTGTGATGCTCCCTGGCCAGGCCTGCAGGGCTGCTGAGGATTTTCTCTGCCCTGGCTCACTTGTCTTTCTGCTGCTGTCAAAGAACCAGCATAGCCCTGTGTTGTTGAAATGTAATGTGAGCCACACATTTAAATTTTTTAGTAGTAAATTAAAAAACAAAAACAGATGGAATTTTAACATTTAAATACATCCAAATATATCTAAAATATTATTTCAGCAGTAGGAAATATTTTAATGTTAATGAGATATTTTAAATCCATTTTGTTCCTAAGTCTCTCTAATCCTCTGTGTATTTGGCTTTCTGTACCTGCCAAGGCAGGTGGATCATTTGAGCTCAGGAGTTTGAGACCAGCCTGGCCAACAGAGTGAAACCCTGTCCGTATCCAAAATAAAAAAATTAACCGGGCATGGTGGCGGGTGCCTATAGTCCCAGCTACTCGGAAAGCAGGCATGAGAATTGCTTGAACCCGGGAGGTGGAGGTTGCAGTGAGCCAAGGTCATACTAGTGCACTCTAGCCTGGGCAACAGAGTGAGACTCAGTCTCAAAAAAAAACAAAAACAAAAAGGGCAGGGGGAGGGCACTGAGAATAGTGCCTGGGACAGAGAATGCCCCATAGCTAGTGCTTATATAAGAAAAGGGGAGAAAAAGCCCCTAGCTAGTACACGTGTTGTGAGGAGTTCACCGGATACGAGGCATGCCGCACTGAGCATGGTGCCTGGCCTAGTGCTGAAGAACTGGATGCCTTTGTTGTAAACTGTGGCTATGTCCTCTGGTGCAGATGGTGAAAGGCTATTCCAACCGTGCCCGGAAAGCCCGACTTGCTGAGCCCCAGCTGCGGGATGAAAATGATCTGGGCCTGTTTGGCTACTGGCAGACAGAGGAGTATCAGCCCCCCGTGGCCGTGGATGGGAAGGTGAGGGCATCATCAGAAGGGATCAGGACCAGGCCACGTTGTTCCCCTGCTGGCCACATCCTGACGTGCTCACCCGCCACAGGTGCCCCGGAACGAGTTTGGGAATGTGTACCTCTTCCTGCCCAGCATGATGCCTGTTGGCTGTGTCCAGCTGAACCTGCCTCATCTACACCGCGTGGCCCGCAAGCTGGACATTGACTGTGTCCAGGCCATCACTGGCTTTGATTTCCATGGCGGCTACTCCCATCCTGTGTGCGTGAGGGGCCTTTGATGGAGGCTAAACAGGGACAGGGAGGGGTGGCTCTGGAGATGGGGATGGAAAGCTGGCATGGGGCTACTGGGAGTTGAGGCCTGGTGGCTCTGATTTTCACTGGATTTCCAAAGTCATTGCTTTACCAATTCTGGCTTCCCTCCAGAGGCAATAGAGCCAATGAAACCGGCATCCTAATGCTGGATTAAAATATTCTTCCCAGGTTCAGAGGCTCACAGGCTAGTGAGCAAAAAACAGTCATCATCCTTTCTGGGCAGCTGCCTGGTTAGTGAGCTCTATTCTGTGGTGGCAAGGCTGGACAGGTGCTTTCACCGCAGCTTTTTTAGGCAGGATCTGGGGAGGAAGAGGCAGTGCCAGTTTCCACAGACTTGCCTTCTGCATGGGGGTATGGGACACTGGCTGACCCAGGACATCCTTTAGGACCTCTGGGGCTCAGATGTGGCCCGCTGTCTTCTGCAAAGGAGAGGCATAGCAGGCCGCAGGCTGGAGAGTTGACATTGCATCGTATCCCCACAGGACTGATGGATACATCGTCTGTGAGGAATTCAAAGACGTGCTCCTGACTGCGTGGGAAAATGAACAGGCGATCATTGAAAAGAAGGAGAAGGAGGTGAGTTCGTAGGCAGGACTGAGGAACAGCAGAAGTGGGAAGCAGCACTCCGCAGGTGGCCTCTTTCCTCCCCAGGCCATGTCCATGTGTTCCCAGGCTCTTCCCAACCCTCTCTGACATGGCAGGCACCCGAGGGAGCAAGCCCTGGATACAGCAGACTCCTGCCTACCCCACAGAGTAACTGTCACTGTCCCTCAGGGGCCCAGGTTCAGGCTCTGGGGTCTGCTGCCCCTGCTGCCCACACCTGCCTCTGTTTTGAACCGCCTGTGTCCTGGTTCTGGAAGACCTCACCCACTAAAGATTTCGGAGTCAGTAATGATTAAAAAGGTGTCTGTTCTTGTGGCTTTCAAGTATAGTATATCACTTTGTAAATGTGATCAGTTTTTTTGGAAGTGAGACTCGGTATGAAGGAGAGGCTGTATCTTCACTTAAAATCATGTATATGTCTGTCTTTATGTTCCAGTTTCCCTCTTACTATTTTTCCTGAAAATGTCAATCCTTAACACTTTTCTCCTACTTCATTTTTGCCTGCAGAAAAGGGAGAAACGGGCTCTAGGGAACTGGAAGCTGCTGACCAAAGGTCTTCTCATCAGGGAGAGGCTGAAGCGTCGCTATGGGCCCAAGGTCAGTGTGGGTTCTTTGCAGGGAAGACAAGCCCAGGGTCAGTTTCCTGGAGGTGCAGCTCAGAAAGCCCTGGCCCAGATTATGCCTCAACACCAAGTCAGGGATAGCTTTGTGTTAGGAAGCCTCAGTCCTTTGTCTCTAAGGCCCCATGTTTTTACCTTTTTGGGAGAGGTGTCCCTGGAGTGAGGTCTCAGCTGGCTCACTGTGCCCCAAGCCCTGCCCCAGTGTGCCTGTTTCTACTATCCACATGAGCGCTGCCATGGGTGTGATTTGACACTAAACACATAAGGGGGCCAAGCATCCTGTGTTTGGTGTACCCTTCTGCCTCACAGTATTCCCGGTGCCTGTGACCATCCTGCAGGCCTGCAGTGGCCTGCTCAGTACCTCTCTCAGCACCTGCCGTGTGCCAGGCCAGGCTTGGATGCAGGTGTGAATTTGACATGCAGCCCTCAAGGGGGCCCCTCCCTGGGGCAGACGGAGCCTAGACGCAGTTAGTGGTGCAGTCAGTGCTGTGTCAGACACGGCAGAAACTGCACTGGCATGTTTGGTTCCCTCTGTGCTGCCTTTTTGCCTTTAAACATTTTTTCATCACGCTCCTCATTCCAATCCCTTTGTTGGAGAAAAAGCCCTTCATCTGGCTTTATGTTCTGACCAGCTCCTTGCCGCCCTCTCTATTCAAACCCTCCCCAGTCATCCCAGCTGGCAGGGAATGTCACCTCAGATCTTAGGGCTCCGAGGGCTGAACTGGCGTATTCAAGTCCTCATGTACTTTTGTCCAGAAATGAGGTAGCAAATGCAAGGCACGGATCACAGGCATCCCCAGATATGGTGGTGTGCTCCTTGAGGGCAGCTTCCTGCCCGGCTATCCTTGTGTTCCCTAGCACTCAGCTCAGCAGGTGCTCTGGTGTCTGCTTGGATTCACCCCAGGCTGAGGAAGGCTCAGTAAGAAGGGTCTGGGCTCTCTTCCCTCCCCGTCCTCCCAGAGTCACACAGCTTAGGGCAGACTGAGAACTTGCTGCCTCTTCACGGGGCTTTCTGATACCTGATTACTGACCCTGGCCTTTGTCCTTCCACCACTGCCCCGTCTAGAGTGAGGCAGCAGCTTCCCATTCAGATGCAGGAGGTGGACTCTCTTCTGATGAAGAGGAGGGTACCAGCTCTCAAGCAGAAGCAGCCAGGATACTGGCTGCTTCCTGGCCTCAAAACCGAGATGATGAAGAAAAGCAGAAGCTGAAGGGTGGGCCCAAGAAGACCAAAAGGGAAAGGAAGGCAGCAGCTTCCCACCTGTTCCCATTTGAGAAGCTGTGAGCTGAGCACCCCCTACAGGGGCAGCCACTACTTGTTGCTGCCCCGCTACTGGCCCCACACCTGCCCTGGGCATGCCCAGCCCCTGGTGATGGGGGCGTCTCTGCTGAGAAGGGAAACTGAGGCAGCATGCACTGAGGCGGGGCCGAGGGAGAGGAGGCCAAGCTGAGGAGGTGCTACAGGTCCAGCCTGGCCCCAGCCCTTGTCAGATTCACCTAGGGTGAAGCCTTCAAAGCTTTTTGCTACCAAAGTCCACTCACTCTTTGAGCTACAGAACACTTTGTCGGGAGACACTCTCCTGCCTCCTAGACTTGTTCTTCTCATTGGAAACATCAGTTTTTGTAGGGAAGCCACTGAGAGATTTCTGGATGGTGGTACATCCATGAATGTGCTGATTCTTTCTCCCGGTTAGTCTTCATCTGTCTGACAAGTTCACTTGCCTCATTTGCAGATGTAGGACCCTTTCTCTGCAGGCTGCTTATCTTCCCCTGAGTCAGGCTTACTAATGCTGCCCTTGCTGCCTCTTTGCAGTAGAGGGGAGAGCAGAGGAGAAGTACAGGTCATCTCAGATTATGGAATTGCTGGGATCTAGTTTTCCAAGTAACATTTTGTGGTGGCAGAAGCCTAAAAAAAAAAGCTAAAATCAGGAAAGGAAAGGAAAAACACCAATGGAAAATTAAGAAAATGTTAGTAAAAATAGATCAGCGTTAAACTAGATTCTGTTCATTACTAGATAAATGTATAAAGCTCTCTGTATTATAGATACTCAAGAGAAATAACTTTTATAACACTTTGAGAAAAAAATAAAGCATTTATCTAAAGACTTGGCTCTATATTTGCTTTCAGATTTTCTTTTAAAAGATGGCGTCTTACTGTGTTGCCCAGGCTGGACTCCTGGGCATGAGTGGTCCTACTGAGGGCTTTACCTCAGTTGCCCTCACAGCCGCTATGTGCAGTGGAAAGGCATTGTTCGGGAAACAGTCCCAGCTCCTCAGGACTGCAGGCGCCCACATACCACCACCTGTGCCCAGCTTCTTTCAGATTTACATCAGGAAGAACATCCAGGTGACAGAGCAGTTTGTATGTTGAGACAGCATAAAAGAACCTATTTTGTTTTCACGTAGGCTGGGGACTCATTACACATGGAATTTTTCTGTGTTTAGTGAAGAGATATTACTTAATCTTTGAGAGGAGCCATTATAAATGAGTCAGTTTTATCCAAGGGAAACAAACAAAACACTTGGGTTATGACTCATATGTAGCAAGAGGCTGGCTAGATCCTCTTGTTGAGAAACACACTGGGGTTGCTATGGAAACTGGTCTCACACTTCCTCACTGGAGCTTGAGCCTCCTTACCTCCTAGAGGTAACTTGTTTTCTGTTTTTTTGTTTTTTTTTTTTAATTTTTTGTGACAGGGTTTTACTCTGCTGCCCAGGCTGTAGTGCAGTGGCGTGATCTCAGCTGACTGCAGCCTCCACCTCTGGGCCTCAAGCAATCAATCCTCTCACCTCAGCCTCCTGAGTAGCTGGGACCATGGGCATGCACCACCATGCTTGTCTTTCTGGGGTTTTGAGACGATGGCATTGCCATGTCTCTGCAGTAATAACTTCTTCAGGCATATGTCAGCTGCTAGGAGGCATTATTGAAAAGAAACAGTAGGTTCTGAGAAACAGAAGAGGTTTGAGAAAGTTATCACTCACCTGCTTGTAAAAAATAAAGCACTCAAACTGCTAGCATCAGAGTGGGCAGTTAGCAGCCATTGCTTCAGAACAGAAAGTAAATGAATGAAAAATTAATGCCACGAGTCAGGCATTCTATGGGCATTATCCCATTTGGCCCTCACAACAACCTTGTGAGGTGGACAAGTGTTGTTCCCATTGTACCAGTGAAGGAACAGACTCAAATCTTTGATTTGCCCAACTTCACAGTCAGTTTGTAGCAACCGTTGGCTCAGAACTCAGGTCTGTGTGCCAACTCAGGATGCCTTTGGCTGTGCAGCACACTGTTGCCCCTTCCGCCTCTTCTGGCACATTCTGAAGATGCATGAAGCCTGAGTCATTCACTTTAAATCAAGCCAAAACAAAGTGGGCTTCTGTATGGAAGGCCTGAGTGCTAGGGATACTGAGTTGCCCTTAAAACAAAACAAAACAAAACAAAACAAAACAAAAACCTATTTTAACCACTGAAAGCTCAGAACAAAGTTCCACAAAATTCAGTTCTCAATAAATCTTATGGCTGAATTATTTATAGGAATTTCATAAAGAATGCCAAAAAATAAAAATAAAACAGGATGTCAAGGTCCCATACCAGAAGATACTTAGAAATTTATTTCAAAAATTTTCATTAAAAATACAAAGATAATACAAATTTGGTTTTCAAAGCTTTCACATTTTTCTTAACATTATTTTTCTCTTTAAGAACACTTTTGAAGTTGACGGTAATTTAAAATCCTTATTAGAAAAAAACCAAGTATCAAGGATTTTGCATTTAGCCATCATCTAGTTATACTGTGTGTTTTCCGGAAGCATCCTTTAAGAGTTTGGAGATTTGATGAAATTGCTAATGTTATAAGCAGTTAGTGAATACTGTTCGATCCTAAACCCAGATAAGTCATCTTGCGCTGGCTGTTTTTCATGTAAAGAAACTCATTTATAGTACAGGCACCCCAAGCCAAGAGAGATGATTACAGATCTCTATAGTTTCAGAAGTTCTGACCCCTTCCTTATTCATCTACCAAATACTTAGTTGCTAAAGCAGTTACTCCCAGCAGGTGCAGAAGTTTCTGAATATGAGAGAAGGTATACAAAGAATCATTTAAGACATCATCCTGGTTACAACATACTTTATCTTTAAAAGGGTGTGAGAGTAGTTGGGAAACAGAAATTCTGTGACTTAGGTGTGGGTGGATTTTATTTAGGATGACTAAAGCTATGGACAAAACCCGTGAAAGAACCACTCAGAAGCAAGAGATAGGAGGCCCAGGTGCCCGAGTCAAAAGCACTCCCGGTGAAATCAACCAGGCAGATGTGGGCATTCTGCAGCAAGCCTAAGGCCCCAGTTCTTTATTGTGGTTGACTGGGCTATGAAGGAGCCCATTTAGTATAAAGCTTCCAACCTTTTCTCTTAATCTTTTCTTTAATCTTTTAAATCATCTTGAAGTGCACAGGGGAGTTTCCGATGCCAGAGGATGAAAGCAAGTGCTTTCTCCACCCTCTCTTCCCAGAGGGAAAACAAATCCTTTGCTAATACTTGTTTCAATAGCATCCCTTGTAAAGCTTCTCAGTGACACAAAATACTGACAGAGGTAACTTTTTATCCGTCAAACCACACACCCCAATTTAACACCTTTCAGTGCTCTGAATTCAATTGACAGACTAAAAGGTGTTTCCTGTAACAGTCTGAAATATTAATCATTCAGGTGCGTGTGTGTTTTTTTTTTTTAATACTATTTCAGAAAACTCCCTCTTGCGGTAGGAAAATACACAGGAACCAGCAAAATAATGAAGAAAAACTTAAGTAGGGCCTTCAGAGATCACACACACTACAGATTCTACCAAGCCATAAGGTACATGTAAAGCCCAACATATGTCCAGCTTTTCTCAGAACACCTTCGGTGTTTTAAGTACCAAATCAGGTTCTGGCCACAGACTAGGTTTTGGGTGTGCCTGCTTTGTGCGGTCCATGTGCAGTGTATCTGCCGGTGACCCAGGACTCAGCAGTAACGACGAATGGCCACCCCTCAAGATCACAGATGTGCTTAGTGGTGGTGGGAAAGCCTGGCACTGTGTGCAGTGATGAGAAGCAGCGTACGGCAAGGCCGAGCCCTTTATCAGCAGGCCTCTGGATCGTCTGCGTTGTCAGCTGCCGATGGGCGGGTGGCCAGCCATACCCACTCGGTCTGAGAGAGAGGAAGGAAACAGCAGGAGAAGCTGTCAGGTTGCCATTTATAAGCTGCTGCTGACCACCAAAGCTGCTTACTGGCAAGAAGAGGCGTGGGGAAGACCAACCCGGTGCACGTGCTGTCAAGTCTGGCCCCTGAAGAGGAGAGGGGGTGCAGAGTCCAAAACCGCTCCAAGCTCCTGCTCTGGCATGGAGCTGGGTCAGGGGTGATGGAGACCAGGATCCTAGGGCTTACGCAGGTGTCGAGTGGGTGCCAGGGTCTTTTCACTCTAGTTTTTTGGCCGGCACTCGTGTCCGAGCAACAATGATGGGCACCAGGGCCAGGCTGGCGATGAGGAGGGCCCACAGGGGCCGGTAGAAGAGCCAGCCAGCCGCCACGGTCAGCAGGGTCAGTGAGGTGGCCATGCAGAAGGCAAAGGCTTTCAGGCCAATGTTGACGAGGTCCCGGAAGACAGGAAACCAGTCCACTGTGGAAAGGAGAAAGGCAATGAGGTGTAACCCACTCTACATCTCACCACCTCAGCAGATCGCTCCTGTCCCTAGGTGAGGATGGGCCTCTGTTGCTTCGTGCATGAGGAGGGGAGACAGTCAGTGCAGCAGAAGGCAAAGAGCCTTGTTCTGAGAGCTAAGGGAGCACAGGAGCCTCTGCTATGAGCTGCATGGCCAGACACACTGAGCCAACCACTCTACCCCGCTCCAGGGGAGAGGACATGGCAGTGCTTTGTAAACTTTAATACTGTATGTGGATAGCAGTCTGAGGCCAGTATAAAGACATTTGCCTGTAATGCTGGAAATACCCTGGGTCCTGCACACTCACACAAGAGGCTGTAGGTGGAGCCTCCTGTGGGTGCCTGTTTGTTTGGACCTCTCAGCCATTCCTAGAGGTGTTTGTTCGTTCATGCAGCGAGATGTTACTGATTATTTATGTGCCCAGCACTGAACCAGCAGGTACTATAGGAAATAAATTAGCCTAAGCATTGGCCTCTCCTCAAGAATCCGACAAACTATTGGTTCAATAGGATAAAGCTTAGGTTTCAGCTAAATTCATGAGGAATTACTCTATTCTTGCCTTGTGTGACCTCTCCAGGTTGGCGTTCCATAGCTGATGTCCTCAGGGAATCTTCGCTCAGTTCCCAGGAGGCCACCAGTGGTCTGGAATCACTGGGTTTGCAGAGCAAGCCCTGGTGCCCCACCATGCCTGCAGCACACCCTGCAAGCCACCATTTGGCCTCATCCTGGTCTGTTCCCATACAGCACTGCTACTTAGCCCTTATAATCGGCAAAGTTCATGTTTCTGAGCGTTGCCTATGTGTTATCTCATGAAGTGCTCATGCCTACCCCGTACGGTAGGTATTCTTAACTTCATTTTACCTATAGGGTCACTGAGGCTCAGGGAGTTAAGAAACTCACCCCAAGTAAAAAGTGCCAGAACCAGGATTTGAACTCAGAACCGTCTAGGCCCAGAGCCTGGGCTCTGAGCTGTTGCTCTAAGCCTGTCTGTCTCTGTTGCTATGGAGTCTTACACATGGCAATCAGTATTTATCAAACGTATAGGGGAGTGTGTGCTTCCCTGCTGCACTCCCAACTCACCCCACCTGCCCTGCAGGTCCATCCACACTGAGTCTGTCTGAATCTGGAGCATTCCAGACAGAGAGTGAATTGGGATCACAGACGTCAGAGATCCAAAGAAGGGCCCTCTGAGACAGACACATGGAAACTGAGGCTCCAGAAAGGAACTGGTCTGCCCAAGGTCATAAAGGTAAGATGGAGGATTCCGTTTAAATGCTGATCTCTCCCTAATATGCCCACCATGTCACTGGTCTTTCTGAGCACAATTTGGCTGTCCAAAGAAAGCCTCAGGGAGAGCCCTTTCCTTCCCAGTCCTGTTTTCCCAACTGTAAACAAAGGAGGTGGTCCCCTCAAGCTCTGACAGCCCAAGATGTGCAGCCAGACCTTTTCCAACTTGTGCCTGCTGAGTGGGGGAGAGGTTTTTGTTGGCACCCAGAGAAGGCTGGACCCAGTCATGTGACTGGAAGAGACACACCAGGGACACCAGGGAAAGGCTTGGATGGAGAGTTCTCTGCAGAACCCCATCCTCCCAGGCCCAGAACATACTCAGCCACCCTGGGCACTCAGATCCCCAACCACGCTAGGCCACAGGGCTCCTACTGGGCTTGCTGGCACCAACCTCAGGCTGGGAGAATGACCTAGAACTCTCCTTCATCCTCCAGACTTGCTGGCTGCCCAAATCTAGCCCAGGTTTTGGAGTAAGGAAGGAAACATGATAGTTTTGGGTGTTTCCTGTTTGCCAAACATTTCATAAAACTCTGCAATATGCAATATGAGGAGTGAGGGGACCGAAGCTGAGGTGGGAAGGGAATGGCCAAGCATCCAGAGCTTGGATGTGACAGATTTCAAGCAGGTCTGGCTGGGTCCCATGTGATACTCAATTGTAGAGCAAAGGAATGATGAGCAAATGAGCAAGCCAGTGGATGGATAGACCTTCAGGCAGTGGAGCGAGACCAGTGCCCCAGGGTCGGCCCCACCCAGCCTTGCCCCTGGCAGCTCCTGGCCTCACACTTGCCTTCTGCTCCCTCATCCCAAGGCTATGGAGCAGGGACACAGAGATGGGCCAACTGCCTGGTCTCTGCACAGTGGCCATCCTGTCAGGCTGGAAGGACTGAGATGATGCAACAGGCAGAGGAGACTGCAAGAGGGAGGGCAGTGACCCACCCCGACATTTACCCAGGGTGTAGAGGATCCGTGTCATGAGGTTGAGGCCCATGAACATGGCCATCCAGCCGGCCGCCCGCAGGCCCCAGGTCTTCATGGAGTTGCTCTTTAGTTCTCTATGAAATACCTCCTGTAGGACAAAGTGGGGATAGGTCAGGACATCGAGAGGCAGCAGCCCTACCCGGTCAGCAGGGCAGGTGCTGAGGGGGCTGTGGCAACTTGGGAGCTGTTGACCATTTCTGAACAGGCCAGAGGGAGGTGGGGCAAGCCTCCTACAGGGCTAAGTCCTTCTGCCCAGCTGGCAGAGCACAGGGCAAGGCATGAGATCTCTGTGGAAGGTAGGGGCCCTCCTCAGCTCAGAGCCCACCAATGCCTGGAGCCCTCAGCCCAGTCTCACCTGGAATGAGTGGGACCCTCCCCACCAGCCCTGAGCAGGTTTAAGCATGCTTGCTGGGCGGCATGCTCTGCGCTGTGTATGTGTTTAATCTCAGATCCTTTCCACATAGCTTGGGGACACTGCACCCTCCTTCTCAGACTCCATCACTGTCCATGCCCCTCTTCCTGTCCGTTAGATACTGCAATTCTTTTTTTTTTTTTTTTTTTTTTTTAATTTTTGAGATGGAGTTTTGCTCTTGTTGCCCAGCCTGGAGTGCAATTGTGCCATCTCAGCTCATCGCAACCTCTGTCTCCTGGGTTCAAGCATTTCTGACTCAGCCTCCCGAGTAGCTGGGATTACAAGGCATGTGCCACCATGCCCAGCTAATTTTGCCTTTTTTTTTGTTTGTTTTTTTAGTAGAGATGGAGTTTCTCCATATTGGTCAAGCTGGTCTAAAACTCCCAACCTCAGGTGATCCACCCACCTCGGTCTCAGTAAGTGCTGGGATTACAGGTGTGAGCCACCACACCCAGCCTAAATGCTGCAGTTCTTTAGCTGCTTCAGTCCATACTCTTTCCCCAGACATCCCATCTGCCTGCTTGGCCCCCATGTGCCGTGACCCTATGCAGCTCTGGCCTTCTGGGCCTCACAGCCCTGCAGCTCCCACTACCTCCTTGACATTTCCACTTGATGTCTTGGCCTGTCCAGTACTGACACTGGTGCCTTCTCTGTCTCAACACATGGCACACCCACCCACTCACATCTGGGGGAAAGACGTGGCCCGCTCCTCCCCAACCACCTCCATCCAGTCCAGGCCACATATTCCCGAGTCTCTTGCCACTGTCCGCCCACAGGAGGCTCACTGGTCCTGCTTCTAACACCTACTCCGTGTTCTCCATGCAGCCACCTGCCGGAGCCCTGCCACCACTAACCCTGCCGCGGGTACCCTGACCCCGCTGGCTGCTGTCCCCAGCCCAGGTTGAGTGTCCTTCGCCTTTGGGTGTCTGCATGTGGGTTTGCTCTGCCTACATACAGCAATTGCCCGCAGTCATGCCTGGCTGGCTTCCTGCACACTCTTCCAGCTTGGCTTCAATGCCATTTCTTCAGAGGGCTTTCCCTTACCCCCTGATCTGAATTGGGCCCTCTCTTAGAGTCCATAACAATAGAAACAGATCACACCGACACCATTTATCTGAACTCTCCCAAGTGTTTTACAAATATTATCTTACTTAATCCTCAGAATCACTCAGTGAGGTAGTTATACTTACCTCCATTTTACAGATGAGGAAACTGAGGCTCTGAGAGGATAAGTCATGTACCCAGGGTCTCACCTCAAGCAGTTAACTAAACGTTACATTTCCAAGAGCAGGGGGCATGTCTGTGAAGTACTTGATGCTTAATGAAAATTGCTGAATGAATAATCCTCAACAATCAAACCAGTTAGGGATGATGAGACTACTACTAATAGTACTTAAAACATTCTCCTCTTCGTGAATGAGTAAACAGGCTGAGAGATCAGCACCAACTCAAGGTGCTGTAGCAGGTGGGAGGCAGCACCGGGGCTGGCTGCACTCTCCTGCCTGTGGGACTGGAATTGGGGCATCCTGACTTTTGCCCTGGGCTGCCTGCCTGGCTCTGGGCCTTTTCTTCCACTTGGCAGAGACCCCAGACCTTGTGTGGGGGCAGGGGCTGCGCTGGGGGAAGGCAGGGCTTTGGGGCTGCTAAACAGCAGGAGGCCCAGGGTGGTGAGGAGGCCGCCTGCCCATCTGCATTGCAGAGCCTTCCCTTTCTGGGGCATTACCTAAGCCATGGGCCCCATCCACTCCTCTCTGGAGGGGCAGTTCTGCGAGCAGGGCCTCATCCCTGGGAGAGACAGCAAGGTCTGGACTAGGCCTCCTAATTTTAGAAACCTGCTGAGAACCCTTAGCTACTGGTGGAAGGGTGACTCATGGTCTTTTATGCTAGGAGGTGGCAACCCCACCCCGGGGTTGGTAACTGACCACACCCTAGCCCTGGCCAGGTACCGGGAGTGGGTGAGGCCCAATCACCACCATGGGCTCGAGACTAATGGCACAGACAGCTGCTGAGGGTCTAATAATAGGAACAAAAGGTCACAGCTAGCCCCTGACGCCTGCCTGCTGCCTTACCCCTTTCTGGCCCTTCTGGACGAAAACTCCAGCGGTCCCGGTTAAGGCAGGTATAGAGTACTACACCAGGGACACCCATGTTCATCAACAGCAGAAAAACTAAAGACACAGTTTTTCTGCTACAGAGAGGGACTGCCTGCCTAGAGAAGACAAGCTCAACTTTTAAGGCACAGAACTGAACTAATCAGCACGTCTAGGCACCCCTTCTCCTTGGGACGTGGGGGAGGCACAGCCCTCCCTATTTATGATGGGAGAGGGATGCCCAGGTAGCTGAGGCCCAAAACAGTTCCCTGCCCTCCTGATGTTCTGGAAGGACACAGACCTCGATGTAGCCCCCTCACCCACTCCCACTCCCTGCTCTGGGCTGTAGCTATAGCACTCCAGGTGCCCCTGACAAGGTGAACCTTTTCATGCCCAGACTGGGCAATTCTTGCCAGAAATACTGATTCTTCCAGGGTTGACCCCTGCTCGTCAGCAAAATTCACTTGTCAGAGGCCCTGCTTGACCACTGTAGAAATGGATGTCCTATTCTGATGTCCACTGGTCTCAGAGCACCTGTTCTCTTCCCAACACTAGGCACAATGCATCAGTACTTAACGAGTTTCTGTCACTCTCACTCCTCTATTGGACAGTCTGTGAGGCAGAGTGAGTTTACTGCCTAGCACAGTCCTGCACACTGAGGGTTCATGACAAACAGCCTCCCCAGTCCCAAAACCCAAATGCTGAAATGCTCCAAAATCAAAAACTTTGAGTGCCACCATGACGCCGCAAGTGAAATCCCACACCTGACCACATGTGAGGGGTTGCACTGTATAAACTCACCTTCAGGCAATGTGTACAAAGTATACATGAAACATAAGTAGATTTTGTGTTTAAACTTGGTTCCCATCCCCAAGAGATCTCATTATGTATATACAGATATCTGTAAATCCAAAAATATCTGGAATCTGAAACACTCCTGTCAAGTACTTTGATGAGGGATACTCAACATTCCGCTATTTCTTCTTGCTTCACTATGACCCCTGGTAGTGGGATCCTATTAAATAACCACTGGAAGGAAGAAGCCGCTTGTTCCCCCACCATATAGGTAGGGCATAACACTCACCTCTGCTGAGAAGTCCCCGTGGTGCAGGAGCAGTAAAGTATCCCCAGACTTGGTGGAATATGGGACTAGTTGGTCACCCCGCTGCCGAGCAATCACGGTGACCTGGTCAGAGGAGTTAGCATTAGAGCTGAAGGGCGACCAGAGGGAGACGCTCCCACAAGAGTCGCAGCCCACCCTCCTGGGACTGGGTGCCAGCCGGGGAAGTGAGTGCAGAGACCCTGGGAATTCTCTCTCCATTCGTCCACCTGGGGTGCATCAGCCCCTGCAGTTCTGGATGAGCTGCTCCATTCAAAGCTCCAGGCAGTACCTTGGGCAGCAGGCAGAGCGGGGGCAGGGGCGGGACTGCACATAGGCCAGGAATGCAAGACCAAGTATTGTGAGATCAAAATGGGGTGGAGGAGAGGGGCTGCGTGTGACTGGAACACCAGTCATAAGCCACAACTACGAGACCCCTCTTGAGCTGCCCTTCTTAGTGTGGGGTCCATGGACAGCTGTGGGGACATGGAGCTTTGAAACCGCTCAGCAGCGTGCCCGCCTTACAGTGCGTCTGAGCGTGTCCCTTTCCTCAGGGAAAAGAGGGTTCAACCGCTCCTGACATTGATCAAGGTGTCTGTGCCGAGGGAAGTTGTGAGGCCCTGATTTAGGGTCTGCCCCTGGGAAGCCAGGTTACCATGTGAGCCGGGCCCAGGTCAGGGTCATCGCCACTCAGTCCAGCATAGGAAAAGGAGACGCGCAAGTCTCCAACCTGGGGCAGAAGAGAAATGGGAAAAGTGAGGCAGGGAGTTGCTGGCCTGGGACCAGGTCCAGGATGCCTCAGCCATACCCCTCAGGCTTCTCCACCTCCACACCTGTCCCCAGGCTGTGCCGTCACCCAGAAGGCCTCTCCCACTCCAACTGCACTTGGCCAAGTGCAGCTGTGGATGCAACTGAGCTGAATCCACCTGCTGCAGGAACCTGATTATAGGGCCCTGACCCTTCTATCTGGAAAACCCAAGTCTCTCCGCGCACCTCCGGGTACTTGGGGTTTTCGCTGTGGTAGAAAAAGTCCCCGCGGCGAAGGATGTCCACATGAGGGTCCTCCAGCTTGGACAGGCTCAGGGGCTTGAAGTTGTCGACTTTGTCGATGAGGCCTGAGGGGAGCAGAATGCTTAGAAACCTAGTGGACCAGATGAAAACCTCAATCTGCAAAGCCTCCGCCCCGACCCTCTTCCACCTGTGCTCTTGGAGCCTGCACATGGGGCGCTCCAGCCTGTGGTGCCTCTTTCTGACTCTGTCTTGTCCATGGCTTCCCCTGGGTTAGACCATCTCCTCCAGGAAGCTTTCCCTGTACCCTCCCCACCAAGTCAGAGTGACCTCAGTGCTGGGAGTGGCCTTAGCCCTTTTCCCTTCCATCAGGGTTGACCAGCCACATCCAAGCCTGACTCGCCTCCTGGGCTGAGAGCTACTTGAGGGCTGGCCCAGCTGGCACAGCAGGCATCATCCAGCAACAGAGCAGACAGAAGGCAGCCAGGCCAGGCCCAGGATCATCCAGCCTCCCCAGGGCTATCAGGGCCTTTGGTGTCTTCTCCCACCTTCATGGGTCAGGCCCAGGAACAGAATGCCAGGGTTACTCCAGCCAATGGTGTTACATCCCTTGCAAGCTTCTCTTTGGAATCAATGTGGGTGGCTACGATGAGCCAGTGCCTTCCTGGCACAGGTAGGACTCAGAGGGAGAGCCCTAGGCTGACAGCACTGAACCGCCCCATGTCTACTACTAGCTGGAGGCTGCTTGAGGCAGGACTGTCTCAGCAGAGTCTACTCAGCACAGACACCAGCAGGCAGCTGGGTGAGGATGCATGCCTGAGTCATTCTCTGGAACAACTAAGGTTTCAGAGGGACCTGGTGGGATGGAGTGGGGTGGGGATTTCTAGTTAGCCCTTGCTTCCTGGAGATTCACCTTCCCCTGGCCCCCAGCCCAAAGTATGGTGCTGCAAAGGGGCATAGGGCTGATCCTATGCCTTTAGCCATCTGAAGGCTGAGTGCTGGGGGCTCCGGCCCTGGGTGGGGCCTTGTGTGTCTGGCATGAGCTGCTCTGGAAAGGCCTGAGACTTACCTGACGAGAGGAAAAACCTGCCAATTTGGACAAAGGGGGCTGTTGCCGTGAATGACTCCACCGCCATGGCACTGTGGGAGAGAGGGAGCCATCAGTGATGGGTACTGGTGTGGGAGCTGCCTGGGTCCATTTAGGTTGTTTGTGCTGGGCAGGGTCCCTACCAGAAGGTTCCTGCAAGTTCAGACTAGGCCAGGCACAGCAGATATCTTGACCTGCCCACCCCAGGGGTCCTGTGCCCCTTCCTGGGCTGAGCACCCTGACTCTGTCTCCTATTCACTGGAGCTTCCTACCCTCTTGCCTAGACCCCTGCCAGCCTGTCCTGCCCCACCTACCACTGTCAGATGGATCTTTTGTGGACTTCACATCCTTCACGAGCCCCTCCCAGGCCACAGAGCATTCCAGCCCCTGACCATCATACTGGCACAGCTCAGACCACTGCTGCACAAGCCTACCCTCCAGCCACACCCAAGTGTTATGCCCACCTCACCACCACTATGCTCCCTCCACTGAAATCCTGGGAAGCCCTGAACAAATGCCGCTGCCTCTGGAAAGCCTGTCCTGATTGTCCTCCCACCCATGGCAAACAGTTAACAAAATCTTCCCTGGCCCCATGCATGCAAATCCCCTTAGACGCTTGGTACGGGCCTTACATTTGCGACTTGTTTGCGGGGAGCTCGCCTGGGGTCAGGGGAGACAGACCTCTGTATTCCTGGTGCCCAGCACAGGGCTTGTCTCAAAACCACATCCCACATTTCAACCCATGAGGCAGGATTAACTCAATCCTGTTATTCAGATGAAGAAACTGAGTTTGGAGACCTGCCAGGGTAGACGAGGCTGCACTCAGGCCTGGGGCCTGGCTCTCACCTGGGGTTTTTGTGGCCAATCTCTCGGTCGAAGTTTTTGCTGTTGACAATTTCTGACCTCCATTCGGTGTCTGCTCAGGGAGAGGAATCAACTCAGAGCCTGGGTAGGAGTGGCATGTGGCTGAGAGCCCCCAGCTCCTCCCATCTCAGAGCCAAAGGGGTGAGTCGGAGAGCCTCACTGGATGGGTGGGAGAGCAGGGCTCTGAAGGCTGGGATCCTGCCACCTGATGTGTCCTTCCCATGGCCCCACCCACAGCCCTGCTGTCCAGCCACTGTTGTGAGCCCCCACCAGAGGCAGAGACCACATAAGGGGCCCAGCACTCACTGTAGGAGTACCTTGTCTCCTTCTTCACCTGCCCGTCCTCCGTGTACTCCCTGCAGGGAAAGCAAGGCAGCCACAGGGGTTAGCCCCATCACCCCGGGCAGTCTAACATCTAAGCATCTCCAGCCGGAAGCAATCTCAAGCAATCTCAGGGCTACCAGGTCAGACTCCCCAGCTGGGGCAGATGCCTTCTCTACACCAGCCCCAAGACAGGGCACTCACTCCTGGCAGACAGCCAGCTCCCACCCTTGAAGGCCCTGCCTGGAGGAAAGCGCTCTCCCATCCTGAGCTGAAGTCAGCCCCCACTGGCCTTACACCAAGGAGCCCAGCTCTGCCCTCTGGGCTCAGAGATCTGGCTGCACCCTCTGCTCCAGGACAGCCCTGTGGGGGCGGGTAGGGGGGGGCGGCTCCTGAAGCTGCTTTTCTCCTGCTCTTCCCACCACCTCCCCACCCATCGGTCACAGTCCATGTGATTCAGGTGGGGCTGAACCCACCCTCAGCTCCAGGTGACCCTGGCCCTGGTCAGTAAGTGCCTGCCCTGGGACTCCTGTCAGAACTGATAAGCTGTAAGTGGCAAGAAGATGGGACCAACACAGCCGATGGGAAGGCTGAACACAGAGCAAGGCAGTGGGGTCTGGTGGGGTGACACACTGATCCTGATGACAGTGTTTGAGGCCTGCGAAATGTTATGTTTCAAGCTTGTGCATCCCTGGAACTTGCGGGATGAGGGAGCCACTCAATCTCCCTTTCCTCATGGATCCACTCTTCACTGGATTTTTGCCACTTCCACATCACTGGCCATTCATTTTGGGATAATTTCACACTTTTCTGATAGGAAGATGTTATACTTGAATTTCAAAGGCATCACAATGAAAGTCATTTGCACTTTATCCTGACACCTACACCTTACTCCTCCTTTACCCCGACAGTTTCCACCCCCTGGCAACTCACCTGGACTCCTCAGTTTCTACCCACTGGTACATCTCCACATGCCTCCGCAGTTTCACAGCCGGAAGATGGACCCCATAGTTTGGATCAGACAAAAGCTTCACACAGAATCAAACCAAAAAAATAAAGGATAAGATTCATGTCAGCCCAGAAAGACTGGCTCAGGGGAAACTGGACTGGAAGTGGAAGAACTAGAGGAGGGGGTGAGGGTGGAGAGCCCTATGCTGCTTCACAGGGGGATCAAGGATGCTCCCCGTCCCAGGTTCTTCACATGTACCACCTGTGACTCTGACCCTCACAGCATGGACCTGGGCTGCACGGTCCAATGGTATGGTACCAACAGCATACTGGGTATTCAAATAACAGGAAAGCGCTGGTGCCCAACATAGTTTTGTGACCTTGCAGTGGACATACATGGTCATCACAATCATGAGAGCACATCCCTGAGTGCCAGCCACTGTACCAAGACGTTAGTTACCTAATCTTACCAAATCCTCAAGGCTGGCCACAAGCTTGTTATCATTACTGTTCCTATTTTATACACAGAGACACTGAGACTCAGGATTGACGGGTCTACACAGCTGCTGAGCAGTGGAGGTGGGAATCACACCCATGTGTGACCATCTCCAAGGCCTATGTTTCCAAATCCTCAGCCAGACAACGCCCAGGACGAGCCCCGAGCCACTGGCAGGTCAGCATCCCTGCCAAGCCTACCTTGGATGTCCGCAGGGAACCAATGATGTGCACCAGCCTTCCTTCATTCTCCGGAGCCACAGTGTGGATGCTGTCAGGGGACACCACAAGCGAGAGCCCCTCGGCCAGCGAGGTTGCCGTCTTCAATGCGCGGCCCTGGAAGCAAAGGGAGTGGGGGTTTCAACAACTTGGGTGGCTCAGCCTGACTGTGCTTGTTGCAAAGTATCAGGGTAGGATGGGGACTCGGGGAGCACTGAGACCCATCTACCCACTGTACAGCTGGAAAACTGAGGTCTAGCAAGTGGCGAGTGGACTAGAACCCAGATTCCTGCTTTCCCAGGCAGACTTCTTCCTACTCCCACACTGGTTCCCACCAGCCCCTGCCAATCTTAGTACCACCTCAATGGTGGGAACAGCTGATGTTTCTACCTGCCCTGTACCTTTCTCCCCATTTTTATCTGCCTTTTTAAAAATTTTATTTTTAAATTTTTTTGTATAGAAGAGTCTTGCTTTGTTGCCCGGCTGCTTCCAAACTTCTAGCCTCAAGCAATCCACCCTCCTTGGCCTCCCAAAGTCCTGGGGTTATAGGCCTGAGCCAGCACGCTTGGCTCTCCTCCCCTACTCTCAGCCCATGTGGTTTACCTAGGTCTATCTGAACCCCTGTTCAAATCATGTGACCCAGGCCTTGCCAAGCAGAACATGTGAGTCATCCCTGGCCAGGGAGATTGGTTCAGAGGACTGAGAGCCAAACCAGGACAATGAGGCCCTGTAATTGTTGCTAAAATGATTTAGAAATATACTATTGCATCCTGAGGTCCTATTTTTGAAAGAAAAAGAAAAAGGGAGAGAGGGAGGGAGGAAGGGAGGAAGAAAGAAAGAGAAAGAAGGGAGGGAAGGAGGGAAAAAAAAGGAGGGAGGGAGGGAAAAAAGGAAGGAAGGAAAAAAAGAAAGGTCTCTTTCTTCCCTGGGCTAAGTGGTTGGATGTGAGCCAGATTCTCTGGCCACATTTGCCATCACAGAGGAAGTACCTGCCCAAGAAAAACACCACAATAGAGTAAAACAGGCAAGAGATGAAGAAATGGAGATTTCCTGGGGACCCAGCATGAACACTTGGATCCAACTGTGCCTGAGGGAGGTGCTAACCTCATTGGTGAAAATTAGGTAGAAGGAGAGCAGGAAGGTCATGAGCCCCACGAACATCCCACCCGAGGTCTCACTCAGCCGTTCCAGGAAGCCTGGCTGGGAGCCGGTTGTAACTTTGACATGTTCTCTCCGGGTACTCGTACTGGAATACTGAAGAAAAAGTAACATTCACAGAATGAGATTAGTTTTTTAAAAAATACATGAAATTTGCTATTTATTTATACGCAGGGTTTTTTTGTTTTTTTTTTTTCAGTTTTAACTAATTGGTAAAAAAAACCACACAGATATTCAATGTACACTTTGGTGGGTTTCCACAAACATATATTCCATCTGACCAACATCTAAAGCAAGGTGCAAAACATTTCCTTCACCCCAGAAAGTTTCTTTGTGCCTCTTTCCTGCCAATTCTCCCTGTCTCCACCAATCAGAGGTGGTAACTGGTGGGGAGGGGGAGAATTTAAATTTGAATTTTTCCCACTGTGGATTAGTTTTGTTTCTTCTAGAACTTGAGAAAAATGGAATCAGAGCACAAACTCCTTTCTGCCCAGCTTCTTGGACTCAGAGCACTGCTTTTGCAATTTATACACGTTGTGGTGTTTATCAGGAGTTTGTTCCTTTTCATGGCTGAGTAGTATTCCACTTATGACTATACCACAATGTGCTGAATCATTCATCGGGGGATAGGTATCTTGGCAGCTTCCAGGTTTTGGCTATTATGAATAATGCTGCTGTGAACATTCATATATGAACCTTTGTGTGGACCTGTGCTTTCATTTCCCATACATATATACCTAGGAGTGGAATTGCTGGTTCACAGAGAATATGTATGTTTAACTTTTTGAGAAACTGCCAAGCTATTTTACAAAGAGGTTATTAGAGATGTATTTTTAATGAAATTCAGCAAGCAGTGGCTGAGCTTTCTGAGGGCAGTGCTAGCCCTCGTGGGGTCAGAAAAGAAGTAGTCTTAGGGCAGCAAGGTCACAACCATAAACAATACTAGGAGGTCATGCAGAGTGTCTGGTGAGAGGGGTGGACCTGGTGCTCAAGGAGTGACCCCTTCCAGCTGAGGCATCAAGACAGGCTCTCTGGAGGAGGGGGCATTTGAGTAGCATCTTAGAGACAGACTCTAGGGGAAGTGCATCCCTGAAGGGGAGAACCATGTCAGCAGTGATGAGGAACTAGGAAGTGGTTCTGGGAGGAGCAGCTGCCTATCTGCTTTACCTGGGTTGTGGGAGGGATGGGGAAAGAAATGGGGAGCCTGGCATTTCTGCACCGGTTCACAGCGGGCCTCAAGCTCAGAGGTGAGTGGATCAGCCTTTGTCTGGCCAATAACAGAGACATGATTTGGGGTGTACCCACTGCTGATCAAAAGTGTCATCGCCTAGAGCAGGATCCTGGAGCCAGAAGGACTGGGTTTGAATCTAGGCTCTGCCACATACCAACTATGGGGTCTTGGGCAAGGAATTTCACCCCTTTGTGGCTTCCGTTTCCTTGGTGCATAGGGTTGTGATGAGAACCAAAGAACATAGTTATTGGGTGGCTCAGGGCCTAGGGCATGGAAAGCACTATACACGTGTTAGCTAGTGGGAATGTTAACAGATTTCCCTACAACTGACACTGGCTGGCACCAGGCGGGGGGTGAGCTGACAAAAGTCACAAAGAAGTAAAGTAGGGACCAGCTCAGACAGGCCCCATCCTGGCACTGGGTACCAGAGGAGTGATTTGAGTCAGAGTGTCTGTTTGGACAAAGCTGATGTCACATTCTGTCTCTGAATACCACCAGCCAAGCTCTCCAGTGACTAGATGTCCATGAATCCAGAAGTCGTCTTGACTTTACATGCCACTTGGGAACATTAGGGGAGTGAATCACCACAGGCAGGCAGGTGACCATCATAATGGTGACAATGGTAAACACACCAGTCTATCACAGGCCAGCCCACAGCAAGCCCAAAGAGGTAGATGCCATAACAACCCCATTTCACTGATAAGAAAATCAGGCTGAGGGGTTAAGTCATCTTCCCAGATCACACACCTTTAAGAGGAAGAGTTAGGATTCAAATCCAGGCAGACTGGAGGCTACTCTCCCATTACTCATTCCAGTCTGTGCTCCCCATCTCTTGGGGTACAATGTGAGCTGAATGTTGGGAGCCAGCTGCAGGCAGCAACAGGAAAAGGAGGCGTGGCTTCCTCTTGGGCCTCCCCTCAGCCAGCATCAAGATAAGGGGCTCAAAGATAATCTTGTAGGGAAGGAAGAGTGGTACAGTACGGTGCCCCCCAGGCTAGAGGAGGGGTGAGGTAGACAGTGACATGACATATCCAGCCCAGGTTCTGAACCAAAATTCCCAGTAAACATGGAAGATCATAAAGGATCTATATATCCACACATATATATATACACATATTATGTTCCATCTACACATACATCATATTGATACACACACACACACACACACACACACACACACACACACACAGACATCCCCAGTGACACATCCCCTCCCAGTCCCAGCACTCAGAACTCAGAACTCAGAAGAAATGAGCAATGAGTGGTGGGAACAGAGGCTAACACATAGGCCCTGGAAATGGACAGAACTGGGTTTGATGCCCAGGTTCACCAATCGCTTGCTGTGTAAGCCTGGATAAATTGTTCTACCTCTCCGATTCTGTTTACTCACTTATAAAGTGGAGAGGGGAACAGTACCTTCACCACAGGTCCTGCTGCTGCTATACTGATTGAGAATTCTGTAGCCTCCCTGCTCCCCACCCCCGACCAATATCTTCAGATCCTCCTTCCTCACCCAGCCTAGTGGCTGTTGTAAATGTGTACCCAGCTACTGGAAGAATTAACAAAGGCTTGGCAGCAGAGGATACCCAAATGCAAGCATGTTCCTTGGTGATGGGTCAGGTCTCAATGTACCCAAGGTGGTCTCTATCCACTGGGACCATCTGCTGCCACTCTGTGAGGACAGGCTAACTCCAAAGTCTGACCTTTTCAGCATGTTCCTGTGTCACAGCATGCCAAGCTGGCCACAAGAGCTTGGGCAAGTGCCTTAGCCTGCTGGGGAAGTTCCCCATCTGTAAAATACTGTGGTGGTGGTGACGGGAGTAAAGAATCCACATATTGCAGACAGGCTGGTCTCCTGACTGCCCTCTAGCCTTGTGGACGGACCCCAAGTCTCTCGGAACACCTCTGAGTGTTATCCTCTGAGCACCTTTCTAGGTACAACATTCAAGGCTTCTAACCCTCCTGAAGGCCCAAAGTGTCCTGGGAGTGTGGAGGATAGTAACCTGAGGCACAGTTTGCTTGGGCTGTGGGTGATGCACACCCTGGGCTCTCAAGGGGTGTGAGAGGCAGAGAGAACACTTGGGGACAGAAGCGGTGCCTGGAAACAGGGTGTGACAGGCAAGGGGAGAGCTGCTAGGACATTCTACCAAAGCAGGAGGGAGGGTGTGTCTGGGGCTGGCAGGGCTCCTAAGCTGGCCCTAGAAGCACTTTCACAGAGGAGGGGAGAGGTGAGTCAACAGCCTCTACCACACCCAGCGCCCTGGTAGGAGGCGCTGCTTGGTCTGTTGAATGAATGTGGGGCTTAAATAGTTTCCCGAGAAAGGCTGGTTGCAGGGAAAAGAGGCCTTGAAGGAACAGCCCTCAGCCAGGCCTTCTCCAACCAAATCCTTGCTAGGAAGAGGAGGGGCCCCATAGTAGAGAAATGCTCCCTCTCCCCCAACTCCTTCGCTCCCAGCCCAGCCTAAGCTTTTTGCAGCATCACAGCCTCGGTTTACACACCTCCCTAGAGCGGGGAGCTCTCTGCCCTCCTGGAGAGCCCTGTCTGTCCATTGCTGGACGGCTCCACTTGGGCTGGATGGCCTTCCTCCCTCCCAAGGGACTGGCCCCCTCTCTGAGGTCCCGTCCAGCTCTCATAATGCCCAAGTTTCAGATCGCCAAGGTCCAGGAAGGAACTGGGAATGCAAGGAGAGGCCGCGGAGAGGCGCACAAGCAGATCGCCGTGCGGGAGCCACACCTCCGAGTCCGCCTTCGCGTGAAAGCTGAGGACGAGCTGGGCCAAGGAACAGGGACAAAAGAAGGCTGGACGGGCCGAGAGATAACAGAAACGGATGAGCTGCCGAAGGCACAAAGCGCGCAGAGGGCAATGCGAGTCCGGCTGCGCGGAGGAGCTCCAGACGGCGAAATGGACCCAGGAGCCCCCAGCGCGACGGAGAAGCCTGGGTGTGGCCTGGCTGGCTAGGGGACACTCACATTCGCGGCCATCGTGGGACCCGGCTCGCTGCCGCCACCTCGCGCTCTTCAGCTAGCAAGTGGGCTGATGACCGGAGCGTGGAGTCCAGCGGCCTCTCGCCAGCTCCAGCTTCGAAAATCCGCGTGGACTCCAGGTACAGGAGGGACTGACCGCGGTTACCGCCCCGCGTGCCCAGCGTTTCTACGCATGCGCTCGGCGACGCCTCCTGGAAATTGTAGTTTAGGGTCCGGGACATTGCAGTACCTCACTGATGCGCCTGCGCACTGCAAAGCTTTCTGGGAAATGTAGTTTCTACTGCCTGGAGAGCTGCCGAAGGACGCGCAGCTTTCTGGGTAATGTATTTTCCGGCTGAGGTGGGCCGGGCCGGGATTGAGAGGCTGCCGAGGCAGGCGCGCGGCGGGCAGGCCTGGAGGGGGCGGGTCCGCCCGGGCTTCGGAGGCGTCCGCCCTGCCTGAGGAGGGGGAGGTCACAGCGTGAAATTGTAGCTGCCGCCGCCGCTTCTGCAAGGTCTCAAAGCCAGGCTGCAGCCATGTCCTACTGCCGGCAGGAAGGTAGGGAGGGCGGGCTGCCATGGATACGGGCCTGCGAGGGCCTGCGGCAGACACGCAGGCCCTGGCGCCTCGCGACCACGCCGCCGGCGCGGGCCCCCTTGAGGCACGGCCCAGGTGGCCACCCTGGGACCATCCAGGGCTGGCTGGCCCGGGGGTCGCCACCTCAGTTTTGCAGATGAGAATTCCGAGGCTCTGGGGCTAACAGGGCTGGTCCAAGGTCACAGTGAAGCCCGACCCCGGACCTTAGAGGGGCCTGTACGTGGGAAGTCGTAAACTGGGCGGTGAGGCGGCACGGGAAGTGCGGAGCTCGCTGCGTGTGGCTCGTAATTGGGAATTGATGGCTGTTAATTGTTACTACCGCGCCTGCCATACACCACGTGTTTCCATTTTGCTGGAGCCTTTAAAAGGCGCGTCCGGAAAAGTGGCCGCTCCGGGTAGCGTGTGCTGTGCTGGGGTGCTGGAGTTCCGCTAACGGGAGTGTTTCCGAGCCCCCCGCTGCCTGTCAGGCACCGTTCAAGGAACCTCACGTGGCTTGTCTCACTGATCTCGCTGCGACCTTTGTAAGTCAGGCTGTGGTACTGGTCACATTTTACGGAAGAGTCAGTAAAGTTAGTAGACACAGGAGACTTGGCGAAAGCCACTCAGCCAGCAAATCGTGGAGCTGGGGTTTGTGTTATATCCGAGCGAGTCAAGGTATGCGCCACACTCTGAGTTTGAATTATGAGTCCTTTATTTTCGCCGGCAACCAAGAGGTGGTTAACGCCCAAAATTAGTTAAGGGGTTTTTTATACCCTAATTTGAAAAGGGAGGGGGGAAACTAGCAGGAAGCAATTGTTTCACAGAAGCAGAGTAAGGAAAAAGTTAAAAGATAAACTAGTACGTGAGAAATAAAACAGTGCCAGGTGTGAGGGGTAAAGCTCAACAACTTACAGATAATGGGGGCTCTGGGGCTCCACAGCACCTGCATTCCCGGGCTCTGCTGGTACCACTTCACTTGGCCTCTTATCAACAGATGCATTCCTGGAGGTGTCCGATGTCAGCCTGCCCCAGCTACGTACTACAGTTACATACTTAATGGTGGGAAAATAACTAAAATGAAGAAGCTAAGATGGAGTCTGTCCGGCTCAAGAAACTAACTCTCTCTGTAGCTTTGTAACCATCCACCCCCGCTTCTATGGTGCGAGAAGGTGCTTCATGAATATCTGCTGTATGAATGAAGCCCAACATCTTATTTTACAGCCTGAATAGCTCTCAGAGAGAGTCGGGTTTAGCTGACAAAAAGCAGGTTACCACATTTGAGCCTGGGCATTCTGACCCCAGACAAGCCTTATCCAATCTAGTGCCCAGTGGATTGCAAGTACCCTGCCTACTCCCACTCCAGAGTTGGGCTCCGACCACCTACTGCTTCCTTGATGTTACTCTACCCAAGGGCTCTGAAGTACACAAGCTGTAGGTCGGAGGGCTTCCCCACACACTGCCACTAACTGGCTCCTTGGCCCTGAGCTCCCACCTAACCCCTCCAGGCCCTGGTTTCCAGTGCTGTAAAATGAGATGTTGGGCTTCATTCATACAGCAGATATTCATGAAGCACCTTCTCGCACCATAGAAGCGGGGGTAGATGGTTATAAAGCAACAGAGAGAGTTAGAAGTCACCCAGAAATTCTTTGGTGAATGTTCCAGCTCCCTCAGTTAATTCAAGCAATTGGAAGCTCAGAGAAGGAGGTGGCCTACCTGTAGTTAAACATCCAGTTAAGAGACTAGCTCAGCCTAAAATGCTGAGCCTCTTCCCATCTGCATCTAGAACCTCTCCTTGGGGTCATAAAGCCATAAGACTCATTCTTTAATGAGTACTATTGTATTTCCCCATATTACTACTGAATGTGTGCCATAAGCAAAGTCCTCTGCTCTCACCACTCTTGTCTTGTTTTTAATTTCGGGTCTCTGAGTCTCTAATTTACTTCATTGAGCAAATAACTTTTGAGCCTTTGGGTATAATGAGGCTGTGCTGATAAACCAGACTCTTCTTTTCTTTGAGGATTTATAGGAGGCAGTTTTCTCTGGGAGGGGGAAGCTAGGTCCATCTGCCTCCAAAACCTGGAGCCTTATCTTTTCCTGGTTCAAAGATCTCTGTTAGTTTGGAGAGGAATGAGAATTGAAAGCACTCATTTATAGGCCTTCCTTAGTATTTATCTTATCCATACCACTGCCCTCCTAAGAAGTCCCTTTTTTTGTGTTTTTTTTTGCCCACGGATCCTTTATGTTTCCCGTAGGATTTAGGAAAATGATCCCAAACTCCTTACCATATCAGAGTTTATGTGATCTGGCCCTGTCTGCCTTTTCAGCCTGGTCTCTTCCTGCTCTTTCGCTGCTTAGCCTTTGGCCTCTTGGCTATTTCCTTGGCTTGGTATATCCTGGCTCCAGCTCTTCCATGGCTGACGCCTCACCCTGTAAAGTTTAGCTCCAATATCACCTCCTGACCCTTTGTGTCTTCCACATCCTGAATTCTCTGAAATCACCTTTTTTATTTTTTGCCATCTTATTTTCTGCCTGTCTTCTCCCACTAAGCTCAGAGCATCAGATGGGCTGTGGAATCCCTAGCATCTAGCACAGGGCCTGGTGTACAATGTATGCCCAAATCTTTATTGAATCATGCGTATACCTTCCCTCTGTTCTGAGTGAATCACTTGCCTGTGCAAGTTTATTTCAGGGGTCCACCTGCCACCCAGCCTTCAGGTTCAACTCCTTGGTTTGGCATTCAAGGAGCTTTCAGCCTCACTCCCTGGCCTTGGGTTACCCACACTTCTCCATGTCAGCACCATAGTGTTTCTTTCTTAGTTTACTCTTTCTAATGCAGAGCCTGCCCACTCCTGTTTAGTCAACATTTATAGAGCACATGTGATGTGCCAGCCATTGGGCATACAGTAGTGAGCAAGGTGACACATTCTCTGCCCTCCTGGCATGGTGGAAGAGATTGCCATTAAAACACCACCAGACAAATGCATGATTACACTGTCATAAGTGATGTGAAAGGAAAGCCCAGCATGCTATGACCGTTTAGTGAAAGGCTCTATGGGATCTGAGAAGGCTTCTTGAAGCTTCAGAGATCCTTTTAAATGTCACTTTCTTTTTTTTTTTTTTTTTTTTTTTTTGAGACGGAGTTTCGCTCTTGTTACCCAGGCTGGAGTGCAATGGCGCGATCTCAGCTCACCACAACCTCCGCCACCTGGGTTCAGGCAATTCTCCTGCCTCAGCCTCCTGAGTAGCTGGGATTACAGGCACGAACCACCATGCCCAGCTAATTTTTTGTATTTTTAGTAGAGATGGGGTTTCACCATGTTGACCAGGATGGTCTCGATCTGTTGACCTCGTGATCCACCCGCCTCGGCCTCCCAAAGTGCTGGGATTACAGGCTTGAGCCACCGCGCCGGCTAAATGTCACTTTCTTAAGAAAACCTTTTCCCATACTGAACGTGTGTGAGCAAACACTACTTCTTAAAACCCTCCTTTTGCACTCCAGCCTTTGCCCAGAGTGGTTCCTTCTGGAATGTCTATTCACCTCCTTCCCTCCCTGAAGCTCTTTGTTAGGGACAAAGGTAGGATCGCTCCCCTTCCAGCTTCTCCACTGGATGCCTGTGTCGTATTCAGGTGTGACCACTAGGTAGTAGCACAAAGCTGGAGCTAAGGAAGATTTGTTGAGCTAAACTTCTAACACTTGGATTCGTCTTACACTCTGTCTGAAAGCTATTTGTATATTCTTCACAGACACAATTCCTGTACTTGATCCTTCTAAATACAGGGGAGTTGTAACTTTCAAAGAGGTTAGATTCTAAACGTGGAAGTCCTCAGCAGTCAGATTTATCAAACTCTTAGAAACCCCTTACCTCACTCAAAATACACCACAGGCACCACTCCCTCTGGCTTTAGATCTCTTTCTTGGGTTGAGCTTCAGAAAGTAGTAATTGGAATTGTATTGCAGGTGCATTGAATCAACTTAGCCAAAAGGAAAGAAGCTAAGTTCCTAGTGCAGGCTGCCATTCTCAAACATGACCCTGGGGATTGAGCAACCATGGGAGACAAGAAACTGCTTCCTCTGCAGGACACAGAGGCATTCCTTCTGGGGAGGATGGGCTGAGAGATTCTGGCATGTAAAGATCCTTCCCTTTCATGGGGGAAATCAAACTACTCATCCAAGGAGTTGTTTGGTCTCACTCATTTAATGGTGATGACCATTCTGTCTTCCTGACTTCAGCTGAGACTGGGTGACAGAGCAGCAGGACCGTCATCTCAGACAAACACCGCCACCAAGTTCCAGCTCCCTTTCTAGCCTCATGTATTTCAAGGAAATCTCTTCTCTTCTAACTATAAGCAGCCAGAAAGAGCAGACAGTAAAACACAGAAAAGACAGCTTGGGCACAGAGGGAGGTGGGGGAAGGTCTCTTGGGTAACTGCGAACTTCATGCTCACACAGTGGGCCCCAGTAAAACAGTGGGTCCCAGTAAAACAGTGGGCCTTAAGAAGCACATTCCTTTCCCTTCAGGTGCACTAAGACAGGGAAGCTAAAGGCAGACTCTGGGGAGTACCCCTGCAGCTACAGAAAGATGTATGGGAACAGACACACAACTCTCCCTCCCAGATAAGCGCAACAAAGAGACACAGAAGCAGCCTAAGCCACTGATAAACTCTCCTACCCTGAATCCTTAAAAACTTTTAGTCACAGCTGGGGGCGGTGGGTGGCTCAAACCTGTAATTCCAGCACTTTGGGAGGTTGAGGTGGGTGGATCACGAGGTCAAGAGATCGAGATCATCCTGGCTAACATGGTGAAACCCCATCTCCACTAAAAAATACAAAAATTAGCTGGGTGTGGTGGTGGGCGCCTGTAATCCCAGCTACTCGGGAGGCTGAGGCAGGAGAATTGCTTGAACCCAGGAGGTGGAGGTTGCAGTGAACTCAGATTGTGCGACTGCACTCCAGCCTGGCGACAGGGCAAGACTCCGTCTTAAAAAAAACAAAAATCAAAAAACTTTTAGTCAGTGAGAGAGTGTGCCTCTGACCTAACTCAGCTAGCCGCCCCTCTCAGGTTTGTTTAAAATAAACCTATTTGTTGCCGGGCGCGGTGGCTCAAGCCTGTAATCCCAGCACTTTGGGAGGCCGAGGCGGGTGGATCACGAGGTCGAGAGATCGAGACCATCCTGGTCAACATGGTGAAACCCCGTCTCTACTAAAAGTGCAAAAAATTAGCTGGGCATGGTGGCACGTGCCTGTAATCCCAGCTACTCTGGAGGCTGAGGCAGGAGAATTGCCTGAGCCCAGGAGGCGGAGGTTGCGGTGAGCCGAGATCACGCCATTGCACTCCAGCCTGGGTAACAAGGGCGAAACTCCGTCTCAAAAAAATAAATAAATAAATAAATAAATAAACCTATTTGTTTAAAATAAACCTATTCACTGTTGACTGTAAAGCCACCCTTCATATTTCTTTCCTCTTTAATCCTTACACTGGGATCTTCATGCCCTAATCCAGTGTTGTTTCTCCATTCATTTGCTTCAACAAATATTGAACACTCACTCTGTCCTTGGCAGTATTCTGGGCTCTGGTGGTACTGCAATGAACAGAATAGACAAAAATCGCTGCCTCTGAGGAGCTGGCATTCCAGTGGCGGTGACAGGTGGTAAACATACGTAGTATGTGAGGTGAGGAAAATTACTTTGGATAAAAATAAAGCAGGATAAGGGAGATGGGCAGTGCTCAGGGACGGTGGCATCTGAGCAGGAGGTGAAAGCAGGGAGAGATTGCTGTGAGGGTACCTGAGGGAAGAGAAAGTGCTCCTGGAGGAGAGAACACTCTGTGCAAAGGCCAGAGGTAGGCGTGTGCTCAGCATGTTCAAGTAAAAGCAGAGGCCATCGTGGCTGGAATGGAGGGAGTGATGGTGGGAGATGGAGTCATAGAGGTGAGGGATGAAGCTCCTTCTGGATGTATTTGAATATGGAGCCATTCCAATTTGCTGATGGAGAAAGACGAGTTGGGGATGGCACTACCAAGAGTAAAACTAGACAGTTGGGAGTGGAAGGTGTCTTGGTATACTGCTCAATCAGTTCTGTTCTCAGTCCCACCCTGAAGTCCTGCTCCCCGAGTGACCCCTCGGGCCTCCAGTTCCCCACTCTTATCAAGGTTCTGGGGTGGGGACTAAGTTGATTCTGGGTAACTTCCTCCTTGTGCACTTTGGGTTCAGCTTTCTTCACTGATTAAGTCAGAGAGCGCTGGACCATCAGCCTTCCCATTTCCAAAACATTGTTGACATCTCTGAGCCTGTGATTGTCTCTTTTACTGGCCACGCTATCCTTGTCAGTTGATACTCTTTAAAAACGTTACCGTCTTTTGAGTGGGATTTCAGCTGACAGCAGAAACTCATTTCACCTCCCCAACCATGTGAGATAGGTAGGTGGAGCTGGTGGTAAGAACTGGTTTCTGAGGCCCAGAGTGTACCTGAGCTTACACAGTGGGAAGTGCTTAAGCTCAGATTTGAACTCAGACTCTCTCTGATATTGAAGGCACTGTGAGCCAGAGGGTTTAAGGTAGTTATCCACCTTCAGAGCATGCATATTGTTCACAACCACAGCCCTAGCCCTGGGGCCTGGGTGCCAGAAGGTCTGATGGCTCCAGGAAAACAAACCAGTGAGCTTCATCCCTCACCTCTATGACTCCATCTCCCACCATCACTCCCTCCATTCCAGCCATGATGGCCTCTGCTTTTAAAGCTTATCTTGGAAATAAAAACACAAGCAGTTTAAAATTTTATTTCTCTGGAGAAATTGTTGAGAAATGTCATGAGAACTAGTCTAGCTGATTGTCCCACTAGTTGGCATCTTATGACTAGTCCGACCAGTTAGTTCTTTCTTTCACAGTTAGGTCTGTTAGGAATAAGTAAGCTTTGTCCTTGCATCAGTCCTTGAATCTGCTTTTAAACATTCCAGAAAGCAAAGACCCACCAGGACAAGCATGTGACAGTTTGCAGAGGACACACGCCAGATTTTTCAGACCAGAGTTTCTGTTCCTGCTCTGCCTTCATTCACTACATGCCTTTTGGTCTGTTTCTCAGCTCCTGTGGTTTCTATAAAACAGAGATAAAGTAATACCCACCAGTGAACTCACAGATGTAAAACACATTGCATGGGACAAAAATGTGTAAAAGATGCAGCTGTTACAGTTCTACCTTCGATCCAGTGTGAACTGTGCTCCAAGGGAAAATGTCCAGGAAGGCACATGTGAGGACTTGGCCCTGTGAGGGGGACCTGGAATTCTCAGTGAGATTGTGCTAGGCTGGTGTTTCCTGACCTGTGTATCACAGTTATCTGTGAAAGCCTGTGAGCTATATGGACATGGCAGAGAGCACAATTCAGCTTTTCTTGGGTGAGGCCTGGTCTCTGTATGTATGGCAAACCCCAGGAGGCCCTCCATACTTTACTGGATCCTTTTTCTGCCTGTAACTGGGCCTCACCATTGGGCAGCGGTAAGCTGCTGTCTTTGTAAACAAAACTAACAGAACTGAGTTGAGAAATTTGCATCAGCTCATTCTGCTTAGTGTTCAACATTTTTACAGATTGCTTTTGAGTATTTTGGAAACTGGCCAGAATTACCAAGGTTATGAGGTATTTTAACAAGCCCTGGCTGCCTGGTCCAAAACTTTCCCAGGCCAGCCACAGGGAAAAGCAGTCTTCTGTCAGATAATATGCAGGGTGTTGAGGCAGAGACCAGCTCTGGGAGCAGAAGCCTCCAGTGGGTTTGGGGTCCTGGCCCTGTCTGTGCTGAGGATGTTTTGTTGAGTGTTAGCTGCCATTATTCTTGTGCAAATGTTGGTGTGAGGCAGTGTGGGTGTGTGGAAAGGATCTCTAACAGCGCCGACTTCAGAGATTCCTGTCCTGTATGACCCAGCAAATCACTACTCAGAGCTGATGACCCACCATGCAGTGTGGGGTACTGAGGACAAGGTGCTCCTTGCTCACAATGGGAATATCTGATGCATACCTGCACTGTGGTTAGCTGATGGCCAAAGTTTTCAGGAAGATGAGGTGGTGGTGACAGCTACAAGGTGTGGCAGAGAGGGCTGTGAGGGCCTGCTTTGTTGCTTGCATAGCCACTCAGCCTTGGTTTTCTGCTCTACTCGATGGGGGCTGAGGGTGATAATACTTCATGGGGGTCACTGTAAGGCAGTTAATGCACCCACCCTGGTTTGGCCAGGACTGATGTGCTTTTCTGTGCTCACTCGGCCTCCCATGAGGAAAAGCTCCTAATATAAAATGCATTTGACTATCACTGGTTTGTTTTCCTGGAGCCATCAGACCTTCTGGCACCCAGGCCCTAGGGCTAGGGCTCTGGTTGTGAACAAGGTGCTCTGCACTTTAGGCATGCTGGCTCTTCCATGCTGGTCCTCACAGGACCGCAGTCCTGACCCTAACCACTGTTGGGTCTGTCCTAAAATAATAAACTGCAGATGGTCACAGTTAAGAACATCTAAGAAGTGCTCTTTCTGCTGCTCCCCCACAACCCCCGCAGTTATTATACTTGTTGGGAAATGGTCCCCAGGCCTCTCAGACTATGGGAAATGGATTGGCTTCAGTGTTCCTCACCATGACCCTTCCTTCTTCTGGCCACGATTAGGAGCTCAGAGGCCTAGTGAGGGTGCTGGCCATGGGCACTCTCAGGCCACCTGTGTCCTCAGCCTTTCAGAGCCAGGGGCCTGTGGTCGCATCAGCTGTGTGGGCTGCAGTGATCTGTAGGCTGAGAACCCACATCACTGCACACTCGCTTTGCCAATGTGCTCAGTCTTCCTTTGACCTTTGATGAATTCTGAACCCTGTGGGTAAACCCTAGGACAGGCCGGGCGCGGTGGCTCAAGCCTGTAATCCCAGCACTTTGGGAGGCTGAGGCGGGTGGATCACGAGGTCAAGAGATCGAGACCATCCTGGTCAACATGGTGAAACCCCGTCTCTACTAAAAAAATACAAAAAATTAGCTGGGCATGGTGGCGCGTGCCTGTAATCCCAGCTACTCAGGAGGCTGAGGCAGGAGAATTGCCTGAACCCAGGGGGCGGAGGTTGCGGTGAGCCGAGATCGCGCCATTGCACTCCAGCCTGGGTAACAGGAGCAAAACTCCGTCTCAAAAAAAACAAAAAAACAAAAACAAAAACCCTAGGACACTGTTTTTTCTTCAGTGCTTTTTTTCCTGCCCTGCCCCTTATCTATCCCCTTTCGTTTCCTCCCCCAGCGTATAAGAACGGTTTGATGGTCACCTCACATGAGGGTGGCATATGGGACAGTCTTCAAACTTGGTTTGTGTGGCAGCTGCTTTGAGTTTAAAGCTGATTCACTGCTCTTGAATGAAACATTTCTTCCTCCATTTTCCAAACACTAGGGAAGGATCGAATCATATTTGTAACCAAAGAAGACCATGAAACTCCAAGCAATGCAGAATTGGTGGCTGATGACCCCAATGATCCGTATGAGGAGCATGGTGAGTGACATGAGGCCTCCCAGGGACCCACATCAGGGCACTGGGGGGAAGCCCAGTGTTCTTAATTCCTTTCCCATGTTTTCCTAGCCAAGGCTGAGTTTTCAGGTATCTATTCTGAGCCGTAGACCATCTCTGAGGGCAGCAATTTATCTCCCTCAGAGGTTTGACGGGCTGTGCTTTCCAGCCTTGTTCTGATGTACTTTCCTGGCACAACTAGTAAGTTTTGGGAGAGAGTGATAGTAGATTCCGCAGTTATAGGTAGGTTAAGGAGACAGGGCTCTTGCTCAGACAAGTTGCCAGACTGAACTCTGAGACATCTACCAACTTTATTAGCAAGCAGACAGTCATGTACCTTGTTCTGTAAGACTGGTGAAGTCTCGGCTCTCTAACTGCTCCAGCAAGCACCTTACATGAAAAGGTCACTTGACACAGCTTTCCGACAAACCTGGTCAGAGCTATTGCACGCTCCTTGGTTAAAGGCTGAATATAACAGTGGTTGCTTGGGCCCAGGACTTTGTTCCAGAGTATTTGGGCTGCTAGACTCACTAGATACTTACTACAGCATGTGTGAGGTCTGAGCCTGTGTGAGGTGAATGTGTGTGTGCAGTGCTCATGAACAATCCACGTCTTTTACACTACTCAGTTCACCAGTCAAAAACCACTTATAATGCCCATGACGACAACTAACCTTCTAGTGCTAATTGGTGACTGAAGAGCTTGCAGCAGCCGCCTCTAGAGTATGGGCTCCTGATTGGAATTTTTCATATGCGAACTGACATGTATATTCCTTCTGTAGGACCCTTTGCTTGTTGCCCTAACTGCTCCTAGGAGTTACAGCTAAGGGTGCAGATCCAGCCCCCAGTGGAAGCAGTGGGAAATGCAGACATTATACAGTGTTAGCATTCTGAGAAAACCAGCTGCAAGGGCAAGCTTAATCAGGGCTTACATGTCCATTCTAGTACTTTCCCTATCTTTAGATCCATATTAAGCATATTTCATTAACTGATCAAGACTGTGGAGGCCTGCAGGACAAATCAGGCCTTGTTTTGTTTGCCTCACAGTGTTATTAAAAACTGAATGTATCTGCCGTTAGACTGAGCTGCCCCCTCCAGAACCCACCATTCTTTCCTTTCCCTGTTGTTTTCTTACCTGCTTTCATCAATTACAGTATATCTGCTTGGATTGTAGGTATCCCCTATGATGCATTTGGCTTTACAGCCCCTTATAGTGAATATATTGTACAAAGAATATATTGTTTTATACAATATATTGTATAAAACACAGAGAACTCTGGGACCCAAGTTCCAGGCTCTTAACTGCAAAATTAGTAAGTGGACCAAGTAAGCCACCAGTTTATGCCATCTACCTGCCTTCCAGCACCCAGCTCTGCAACTGAGATGATATGTGGAATAGCTAAGAGTACCAAGAAAAAAAGGTGGCAGAATTAATTTTCCTAGAATCAAAACATCAGGAGTACATTAAAAAATCATCTGATCCAATGAAAAAACCGGGGTCCCAGGAGGAGGCGGAGACTGACTTAGCCAGTGAGCTCCAGGCCTTAGACTGCATGTTTGACCACTGCATCTGGGCTTTATGTGACATGCTAAAAATACCCTCTGTGTGGATTTATATTGTGTCTCTGAAATGCAGACTGCCACCATGTGCTTTGTGAAGAGCTATCTCATTCCAGCTCACCTGCACCTAAGAAATAATGAAACAAAGACTCCTGGAGACCTAGGTTATAATTTTTTGTGTTTTTTTTTTGTTTTTTGAGACGGAGTTTTGCTCTTGTTACCCAGGCTGGAGTGCAATGGCGCGATCTGGGCTCACCGCAACCTCCGCCTCCTGGGTTCAGGCAATTCTCCTGCCTCAGCCTCCTGAGTAGCTGGGATTACAGGCACGCGCCACCATGCCCAGCTAATTTTTTGTATTTTTAGTAGAGACAGGGTTTCACCATGTTGACCAGGATGGTCTCGATCTCGATCTCGTGATCCACCCGCCTCAGCCTCCCAAAGTGCTGGGATTACAGGCGTGAGCTACCGCACCCGGCTTGTGTACTTTTTAATCAACCACCTGGTCAGTTTGCACTGAGTTACTTATATATAGATAGATGTAGGGCCAGTGACCCACAGGGTCGTGGGATGTGCCTTATGCTGTGCTGAGGCGCAGGATCCGAGAAATAAAGAGACAGGACACAGAAGTACAAGGAAAACGCAGCTGGACTGCAGGGGCCACGCCACCTATGAGTGGAGTCAGGTGAGGCCCTGAATGTCCAGAAGTGTGAGTATTTATTGTGTATAGGTAAGGGGGCAGGGCAGTGAGTGAAGTCATCTTTAAGGATAGTGATAGGGTTGTGAGCAATAAAACAAGGGGTCCACCCCTATTAGGTCACCTAGGCTGGGAGGTGGAGAGTGCGCAGCAAGGAGTCCATTCTCCTTAGGTCACCGAGGCTTGAAGGTGGGTTGTGCACAGTGAAGAGGGTGCAGTGTGCAATACCTCAATATCTATGGACAAGCTAAGAATATTTATAGGAGGATGCTTTAAGTCACATAGCAGTGACAGAGCTGTCAGGGTCTATGCCACCTGCCTGCAGTTTCCAATGAGTTCTATAGGGGAATGCTTTTCCAGCAGCACAGTAACAAGAGCTGATAAAGTTCACAGTCACCAAGGGGCGATTGCCGCTCCGAGGGCAGCCTTCCACAAGAAATGGAGCAAGGTCCTACAACTCCTTTATCAGGAGAGTGGCTCTTGCCCCAAGCCTGCCATACAACAGGTATCTTTACGATACTGAACGCTGCTGCCTGGGCCATGGATTCTTGTTCTGTTGTAACTGTTTTTCCCTTAAGTCATGCTGTGCACTGTGTCTGCTCTAGGCATTCCTCCAATTATAAGCTGCTTATTCCTTAATTCATGCTCTGTACTGTATCTACTCTAGGCATTCCTCCGATTATAAACTAATATATATATATATGGAAATAACTGAGTGGTAAGATATTCTTTAGGCACTCATTCTATGAACTAATATGGGATTATATATAGAGGATTGTATAAAGGGAAATAACTGAGTAGTAACACTATAAACTGAGATATTCTCCAAGCCCTAATTCTATAAACAAATATGTGATTATATAAAATATTATATAAAAGGAAATAACTGTGTAGTAACACTATAAACTGAGATATTCTCCAGGTCTTAATTGTGCCAGGATTCTGCTTAGATCTCCTTTCTTAGTACATATATGGGGGGGGGTTACCCACATATATGTGTGTGTGTGTGTGTGTGTGTGTGTGTGTGTGTGTATATATATATATATATATATATATATATATCTCAAAGACTAATAGTCTGAAAGTGCCAATACTAGTCAGTAAATGTGAAAAGATGAGGTAGTGCTACAAATATGGCTAAAAGTATGATCAAAAATAAGTTTAATGAAGAGTATGCTTTAAAATTTTACTTTAAATTTTTAGACATGGCCAGTCTTCTAAGAAACTTGGTTTGTTCTATAATAAAAAACTTTACAAGATTTTAAATAATTAAACATATTTAATACTAAATCAGTTTTACGGAAAGATTAAAATTATACTGTGTATTAAACTATCATTCCCATCCAGCTTATTCTGGGTAGAATCCTATTAGATTTCATATATATATATATATATATATATATATATATATATATATATATTTTATTGCACTTCAGGTTCTGGAGTATATGTGCAGAACATGTAGGATTGTTGCATAGGTACATACATGGCAATGTGGTTTGCTGCCTCCATCCCCCTCTCACCTATATCTGGCATTTCTCCCCATGTTATCCCAGCCTAACCTCCCTACCCACCACTGTCCCTCCCCTCGTCCCCCACAACAGACCCCAGAGTGTGATGCTCCCCTCCCTGTGTCCATGTGTTCTCATTGTTCAACACCAACCTATGAGTGAGAACATGTGGTGTTTGATTTTCTGTTCTTGTGTCAGTTTGCTGAGAATGATGGTTTCCAGATTCATCCATATCCCTACAAAGGACACAACCTCATCATTTTTTATGGCTGCGTAGTATTCCATGGTGTATATGTGCCACATTTTCCTTGTCCATTCTATCATCGATGGGCATTTGGGTTGGTTCCAGGTCTTTGCTATTGTAAACAGTGCCACAGTGAACATAGGTGTGCATGTGTGTTTATAATAATACGATTTATAATTCTTTGGATATATACCCAGTGATGGGATTGCTGGGTCAAATGGAATTTCTATTTCTAGGTCCTTGAAGAAGTGGCACACTATCTTCCACAGTGGTTGAACTAATTTAGACTCCCACCAACAGTATAAAAGTGTTCCCATTTCTCCACATCCTCTCCAGCATCTGTTGTCTCCAGATTTTTTAATGATTGCCATTCTAACTGGCATGAAATGGTATCTCAGTGTGGTTTTAATTTGCATTTCTCTAATGACCAGTGATGATGAGCATTTTTAAATATGTTTCTTGGCCTCATATATGTCTTCCTTTGAAAAGTGTTTGTTCATATCCTTTGCCCACTTTTGAATGGGTTTGTTTTTTTCTTGTAAATCTGTTTTAGTTCTTTGTAGATTCTGGATATTAGCCCTTTGTCAGATGGGTAGATTGCAAAAATTTTTTCCCATTCTGTTGGTTGCCAGTTCACTCTAATCATTGTTTCTTTTGCTGTACAGAAGCTCGGGAGTTTAATTAGATCCCATTTGTGTCATTTGGCTTTTGTTGCCAATGCTTTTGGGGTTTTAGTCATGAAATCCTTGCCTATGCTTATGTCCTGAATGGTTTTGCCTAGGTTTTCTTCTAGGATTTTTATGGTGTTAGGTGCTATGTTTAAGTCTTTAATCCATCTGGAGTTAATTTTAGTGTAAGGTATCAGGAATGCGTCCAGTTGCTGCTTTCTGCACATGGCTAGCCAGTTTTCCCAACACTATTTATTAAACAGGGAGTCCTTTTCCCATTGCTTTTGTCAGGTTTGTCAAAGACCAGAT